TATTAAACTTTCATGACACGTCATGTTTATGGATAACCCTTTATTTAAAATATGAATATATTAGTTGTTCATTTCAATTAAAATAATACAACTGTATTTAAATGAATTTAATTATTTTATATTGTTTATTTTTGTTGAACTTCAACAGCTATTATTTTTCATACATTTTGATTGATAGAATACCTAGTTAATATGATTACCTTAATCATTATTATAGTAGTTTTTGAACTAAATAAGATTTCCATTAAAATAATATAAAAATTAATAATATAATTTCTGTGCTCTGGATTTGATCCGAGTGGAGATTAAAGTTGTGTACATGAATCTGTAAAATAAAATAAACCAAAACATCTATTCAAACTATAGGGCGTTTCGGTTTTCAAGGTAACCTCGTGGGAAATTTAGAATTAACCGCTAAAGTAAGTAAAGTATGAACAAATAATTCTCTCACTTTCTCTCTATCTCCCTCTCTCTCTCTTTCTATACACACATTAAGCTGATATTTCAACATATTACATTAATTTATTCGACATTGATCGATAGTTACTATTTACTAAGTTTTTTATTTTTTTAAAATTTTAAGTAAATTGAAATTATATTTTGATTATAAAGTACAATATTATATAAAACATTTAGTTTTTTGTATTTAAAATATTTTTATTATGGATTTTGAGAATATAAAGTACATCCTTAAACTCATCATAAATGAAAAATCTTTTCTCCCATTTTATTATTTGTGAGAAAGAGTAGAATTGTTTGAAACAAGTTTATATCTAGCGTATGAGAAGTAGGATCGATTATGTAAAGTCAGAGACGGTTCTAGACAGAATGTATAAATAGGCAAAATTAAAATTTGCCGCCCTTTCTTTTTTGATCTAAAAAAAAAATGTTTTTATTTAACTATAGACGGTTAATTAATTACTTATAAATATTATTAAATTATAAGAATTTAATTTTTATTACATTTAAATAGTCCACATTTTTATTAAAATTTAAGTACCTTAAAGTAATAAATTTTCTTCATAAAAATTTTAAAAGCGATATAATAATGAATCCAACATTTTTACTTTTTAAATAATTTACAGATAATGCTATTAATATTAACGCGTTTGCTCTGCTAGCATTATCAGTGCATAGCCCATGTCGCTTCGCCAAAAATAAATAATTTATATAATAAATAATAATATAGTATATTATTATTATAGACGTTCGATGAACGTCATTTCGGAGAAAAACCAAATACGTTATCTTTAGTTTAATTTTGGTGTATTAGACATTGTACACAAACCGTCCCAACCAAAACTAAATTGCTGAATACATACCTATCAGTTATAATTTTTATTATTTAAAAATATACATATATAAATATTAAATAATTTCTTTTTTGCTCATCAGTGTTTCAAAAACGGTTTTCGGTTTTTGCGTTAGCTTAAGTAGCAACATGTTATACTATATACGGTCCTGCCTACTACCAAAGAAATTCCGCCTCAGGCATATGCCTGTGTTAAGTGCGGGGGCGTATTTAGGTAGAGGCTATGGGTCCCGTTGCCCCGAGCGGCAAATTTTTAAAGATTTAGGGAGGCGGGCAATTTTTATTTCATACTTTACACACCGACACAACTTACCCAAATAATTTGGCAACATGTTCTGTAAATGAGTGTGTACAATTTCAAGGCTATATAAAAAACATTAAAGTTTAGTTTACAACAATACAGATGTTACGGTTCATAAGAGAACATAATTTTACTAGTGTTCATCCCTATGTTGAAGTAGCTTTACGTATTTTGTTGTGTACACAATCTACAAATTGTACTGTAGAGCATTCTTTTTCTACATTAAAAATAATAAAAGCTACTGACGGTCTACAATGGCTAAAAACCGCTGCTCGGCTTTACCAGTATTAATAACTGCAGCTGAAATAACCACTTCATTGGATTTTAAATAAATAATTAATGATTTTGCTGGTTCTGAATCAAGGAAGAAAAATATTTGAATTTTGTATTTATATTGTATATCTAGCAATTAATAGAAATTTTAATAAATAATAATAATTAGTAGGTAACAACATTTTCTTTTTAGTGGGGGAAAATATGTGTTACCTCTATCCTGAAATTCCTAAATACGCCACTGGTCAAGTGTTGTATATTATATGTTTCAAATAATTGATTAGCTTAAGTAATGAGGCTTCTTTACAAATGCTAACTAAATACAAGTATGTTAAACGGTATGGTACAGTATAAAGGGAGCATATAACCTTATAGTTATCTTTTTATCACATAATTTGTATTGATATTAGTTTTACATAAATGTATACATATAATATATCGGTTATAAATTATTATATAAAGGTCATACGACCTTTAAAAATTTTGACATTTAAAAATTGTATTTTTTTTATATTTTTTAAATAAAATATAAAATAATTAAATAAATTGAAGATGAAAATAGAATCAAAATGTTAATATTAGTTTTTAATTTTTATATTTATGACAACTGAAAAGGTTATTCAAATAATTTATTGTTTGATAGACTTTGATTTCAAACGATATTCCAATTAATTCTTGTACAAAAAGCGGAAAAAAATGTTTTGTCTATTTTTCGGACCACCCTAATATAATATAAATATAAATATTTAAACTCACGTTATATGAATAATATATTCTACTCAACAAGTAGTTTAAAAATATGATAAAAATTAATTCTTTTCTTAATTTTTAATTATTTAAACATAATTTTGAGAAATATTTTATTTTGGCCATTTATAAATATCATATAGATGTTATTTTTAATTTGACTTTTTTCAGTTTACATTACACATTATACGAGTATACGAGGTTTTTTTTAGAACTTAAATTATGTTTCCTAAACTTCATTGTTATGTTGTGAAATTAATGATTTCCAAAGATGTTAATATAAGAACATTCACAAGATATTTTTGCTGATCCATACTATAATGTGGTACGTTATAAAGATGTTAGTTTTAGAAGTTAGCCTTTTTCTAAACATCTTATTATTATCAAATATATGCCTTCCTATTTATTTATTTTTATACGGATATTTTTAAGATATTTTAGTTTATGCAAATTACAATGGGATATAGTAATACTATTCACCCTTTCCTGCGTGTCCATGGAGTCTGACCTGACCTAGGAGTTCCGCCCTCTTTTTTTCAACAGAATATTTTGTATTTTGTGACAAAATCAATAATTTATTACTCGTAAAAATTTATTGAAATGACATTTTCTACTGTACTGTTAAAAAAATATTTTAAATGTATTTAGGTTCCATAGATTTATGGAATTCACAAAAATATTCATATATATAATATTAAATTATTAATATTCGTTTTTGAAGTATCAAAATACTTGCTGCACTACGTATTGTTTAGGAAAATATTCATAATAATACTTATTTTATTTTAAGCATCTTTTATTAGACATTACATTGTCACAGATTTACGTGGTTATTTTTTTAATTTTTAATTTTTTATTATAGCTTTAAGTAACAACTTATTATTATTTGCATTATTTATTGTTATTTATTTGTAAGCTAAAATAATTTAAAAAAAACACCAGTTCAAAATTAGTCTTTTTATTTAATAAAATAAAAATACAATACATAATTGTTCTAAAAAATACTACCATTACTAATATATATAAATTATAAATGCATATTTATAAGTATATTATTAATATACGTTTTTTATATTAAGTTTTTGAATGTCTTTGCATGCTACATCGATCAATTCGTTAATCACCTGATTTATTTGTTTATCAACGACACATAGATCGGCAAAATTCGTCAACCATTTCAATGAATAAGGATTCTATAATTCATAATAGTACATGCATAGACATATTAAGATCTTAATATGTCTATGCATGTACATGGTAAATCAGTCAACAAGGAATGATGTCCAACATAAAGGACAAACATGCAAAATTATATCAGATGTATAACATTTACTTATGATAATGATTTGTATCATGGAAGAAAATCATAATAAGTACCAAAATTATAATTCATAATTTATTTCAATCATAATTTAATTGATTAGTTCACTTTACGTACTTGTGGTAAGGAGAAACAGGTTCTACCGATCTTGTCCAAAATACTTTTGTAGCACGGAAACATGTCTAAAGTAGGACTCAGATTATTAGGTTTGTCTTTATCACCGACCACGTCTTTTAAGTCAGACAGGTCTTATATTTAAAAACATCGAATGAATGTTCTTGAAAACGCTATCGATAATTGATCTCATCTAAATCATAAAATTAAATATTTATGAGTAGCCAACAAGTTTTAAACATATATTCTAAGAAAAACATAATCATTTAATTTTATTTTATATTTTAATTTATTTCAATTTATTTTTTAATTTATTTGAGCCAAAGCAGAAGGCTATCTATAAAATGTTAATTTATGTGAGTTTAATATATTTCCTCCAATTTATAAAATTATATTTTAAATATTTATATATATATAATTATTAATAAATTATAAAACATTTTTTTAGTTTTCAGTGTTTAAAAGTATTTATTTTATTTTATTATTCATTCAAGTTAATAGAGAAAATGAATCATTTTTAAACAAAAAAAAGTAACTTGAAAGTTTTAGTTTAAATGTTACCAAAACAAAAAATACCATAACATTAATTGACAAACGGAAAAATTAATATTAATTTTACTATATAACAAAATGGATATAGGTTAAACATTTTTAAGGTAATAAAAATCAGTACTTATTTGTATTAAAAATATTTTCTTTAATTTTTTCATTACAGTGTAACAAATACTACAATAATAACTATCAATTTATTCTGATATGAATATTAAAAGGGTTTTAAAATACGTTGTTGATGGATTTTGGAATATCCGAACATGCTACATCAACGGCATTGCTGACCATCTGGTGTATTTGTTTGTCGACAACACATAAGTTGGCAAAAATTGTCAATCGGTCCAGTACATAAGGATTCTGTAATTAATAATTATAATCGTATAAAAATACATGTAATTATTTGTTCATTATTAAATGGAATTTACTTAGATACCTGTTAAATCGTAGTATAACTTAATAATTACTATATAAAGTACGTTTGGTACCTTACTATTAAAAATGAATTTATATGTTTAAATTTCATGTGATAATTCACTATACGTACTCGGGGTAAGGAAAAACAGGTTTGAGAAATTTTATTCAAAATACTTCTGTAGCACGGAAAAATGTCCAACGTAAGATTCAAATGTTCGGGATCGTCGAGATCGCCAATCTTTTCCTTTATGTCAGGTCTCGACTTAACGACCATTGAATAAATTTTCCGGAAAACAGTATCTATGATGAGTCTCATCTAAAATATTAGATACAGATATATCATAATTATATTGTTAAATAAAATTAGTCAAAATAGATTTAATGTCTTTTTCCGGTTATTTAAATAAAAATATATTTACTGGACAATTTTGGAATTAAAACTTTAGATTTAGCTACTTAAAATATTAACCCAAACAGGGTAGATTAAATAGCAAATTAGTCTTATCAATAAGTTCAGTGTAATACTATCGCACGGTTAATACTTTAATAGATGGGTATCAGTCTGGCGATAACGTCCAATATGAATACACGCCATTGCGTTCACTCCATTAACGGGTTTTCGACCATTTCGTTCTAACGTATAATATAAAATATTATGGTTCGTTCCGTTAAAAGTCCGCCTCGCGCATCTACGTCCTCCAAACGCATATTATCAAACAGTTCTTTGTCTCCCCTTTACGAAGGAAAAAAGACAAAAACATTTACTTCACCTAACGGTTACGCTGTTTTCTCCACAGTCGACATCAGTGATGACACCGTATTTGATGCAGCTCCATCACCTTCCCGAGACGACACCGTCGTTCATCAATTTTACCCCACGGACCTGACAGACCTGGCGCCACCCTTCTATATAAGTAACATCACCAACTTCTCCACATTCAATGATACATTAATTAAGACCACCGCCCCCAACGGGTTTACGTGTAAGTATACTCCTTCACATCTTATCGTTCGGCCCAGAGGCAAAGATAATTTCAATGCAAGAGTTAAAAATTTGTTGGAAACTAACGCTAGTTTCCATATCCATCGTGCTCGCTGTAATCGACCATTCACCATCATCATCAGAAACCTCCATCATTCCACTCTCAGTACGGATATTTCGGCCGTACTGTTATCTATCCACTGTTAACGTTTCACTTATTATAATACACTTTAAATGTTCAAAGTACATTTAATATTTTTGTTTTCTTGTCATTCTTTAATTAAAATAAATAAATGTATTTTATACGATTTATTTATAATACCCACTTTGTTGTTGTGACGTAATTCTAATGACAATTCGTGCATTTTAGCCATGTCTTTCGATTGCTTTTTGTCCGATATTTGATATTGTAATGTATTTTCGTGAATATTTCGACTGGATATTGATGTCTAAAAAAAAAAAAACTATTGTAACAATTCAAATATTATTTTCAATAAGTTCCGCATGATAATAGTCTTGTTTTATTTCAAAAATATACTTTTTTAATTAGTTCTCCAGATTTTGAATTGGTAATCAACTCGTTGTTACTTTTTTGATAGCCAATAAACGCAGATAGTTTTTCATGACCGATGTTGAAATCACCGTAAATCATTACATTGCTCCGGGTAACGTTTGTTCTCACCTCTTTAAAGTCGTTGAAAACGGTTCTTTTTTCACAATTGGATACTGTCTATTAAATTAATATAAAAATATTACTTATGCATATAAATTATTATGATTGTCTTATTTTATCCCTAAAACAAAATAATGCGACATAGGTACCGCGTCTAAATCTTCCATCCACGTCACACTAAATAAATCGCCAAGACATGTACCATATGGTTCATACCGACAATAGCATCCATACGAGTTTTCTCTTGGTCCAGATGCAGTTACAGCCAAAACTATTTATAAATTTAATTTAATTTTAGTTTTAATTTTAAGAAACTGTATCGTAGTACCAACAAGTGCTATAATTATCAATAAATTAAAAAATATACTATTATGATAGATCATATTATATATTTATCTCATGAATCATTATAACATAATTTGATTAACGATAAATTTTGATGTCCTACGCAACACTACACTATTTAACTTACTATCTGTGTTATCTTGGAGTATCCCATCAAACATAGAGCCTGCATGACATGCTTCAATATACAACAACATCTTTAAACGAAAAATATAATTTTTCATTATCAACCATGATTGAAAATATTCAACAAGTATAATGTAAATCCGATTATATTTAATTACCTTTCTATAGCTCGAAGATCCAAACATGTATTTAAGCGCATTGTTCAATTGATCAGCGTATAAATAATCATCCGGAAAAGCTAATAATCCAGTTGTACCGTGATCCACAAAATTGATGAAAACTCTATCGTGAGGCCCACTGTACACAAACAATTTCGTAAAAATATTAAATATTATTAAGAAACTATTAAAATTTAATTTATTATTAAAATACCTGTTTAATTTTATTATTCTGAAAAATGATAATAATACAGTAGAAACTAGATTAGCATCACTCTCTGTTATCCGTCATCCAGGCGCGTAGCCAGGGAGGGTGTTACAGGTGTAATAATACCACCCTGACTATGTTATACTTAAGTCTTATAAAGGTAAAAATTCATCATGAACCATGATGAACACATATTTATCATAACGATTTGAAATTTTAATAAAATATTTAAACGCTTTCTCATACATTATTACAATACACATGAATAGATATTCATGTATAATATACTAAAGTATTTGTATATTTGTAAATTAAAGTATACGTAAAGTTATTATTTTGTTGCATTTAATTTTGTCAATCAATTTTAAATAACACCCCCCCCCCCACCCATTTTAAAATACCTGGCTACCTGCCTGCCTTAATCTGTAATTTATTACAGTGTTGGTATAATACCAATTATATTTTAAATATTGATAGAGCTTAACCATAATATTTCATAGCGAGAAATTATATTTCAGATATGGGCTGATAATGAAGCCTACCCCTTATTCAAAAACATTTGATGAACAAATAAAGCTCTTTCTAGGTGGGAAAAATGTTCAGAAAGCTACAGATCATACAGCTAACCTCAACTTCATATTATACGGTAGTATAAAAACTTACAAAATAATAATTAGGATAGTTAGGTACCTATGACAAAATTAATTCGTATAGCAAAAAACTTTTAAACAATTAGTAAATATTAAATTAATTTACATACCCTTCAATGACTTTACCGCTTCCAATGTTCCGCATACCAGTTTTGTTTCCTTTGAGTATATTTAAGAAATTTGTGCTATTTACATCCTATATTAAAGCAAAATTTATTTATTTTTCTTGTATCTATAAATTTATTTATAAATGTCACAAGTAACAGCGTATCACCACAGGTTGCAATCACTTATAGACTAGATTTTTTTTTTTTTTTTTTATATATATAGTTATTTAGTCCACACATTTATATAGATTAAAATCAGAGTACAATAAATAATTACGTAAATAAAGTTCAGTATCCATATCAATGTATAAACTGCAATCATAGTAAAAACTCACTATTACTTTAATTATAGTCATGTCATTCGACTGTATGGCATACCAAAATATGGAAAGTTACTTAATTTTAATTATTTTATTTATCGAAAAGAAATAGAAAACAAAAATAAAATAATTTGTAAATATAAAAAATATACTACAAAAAAAAAAAAAATGTTTCGTGATCAATTATATTCATCTGAGCTTAATGAAACTGATACTAAAGATAAGCAATGGCAAAATTACATACTTTGCAGAATTACTAAACTTAGTACTCATTCTGTATTAAACATACGGAATTTAATTTTATGGTATTTTCTATTTATTTTTTTATTATGTTAATTTCAAATAATTTTGTTTTAACCCTTACATATTCAGTCCGGGTTTACCGGTCACCGAGTGCACGCGTCCGTTCGTTTACGCTCTACCTGCCGCGTATACCATAGACGGTCTTATCTCATTATCGTTATGAGACATGTCTTACAATAGGTTTGGTACTTGGGTATCGAAAGGAAAAATCGAATTTGACTACGGCCCTCCTGGAAAACGGAATTTATCCTCTCCGTCTACTTCTCCAAGTTTAAATGACAAGAAGCCAAAAATATTTGTTTCTCCAAACCGGTTCGAGATGTTACAAGATGACGACGATTCAAATGAGAATGTTATTTTATCACCTAATAATCATACTAAAGCTCGTGAGTCTCAGTCTCAATCCAGCCAAATCAAAATTCAACCCCGTTCTCAACCAATATATATCAAAAACATAACTAATTTCTCCATATTCAAAAATAAATTAATACAACTCACGGGTATTAATAGATTCACGTATAAGGCTTCGCCTTCTTATCTAATCGTTCGACCTCACGGGCCGGATAATTCCACAATAATATTAAAACATTTGAAGAGCTCAGCCACCGATTTCCATACATTTCATCTACACAACTCACGCTCATTTAGAGTTGTAATCAGCAACTTACACCATTCAACATTAACTTCTGATATTTCTAATGCTCTAACCGAGCTGGGCTATTCGGTTAAACATATAGTTAATACTAAGAAGAACAAATTATCTCTGCCTTTATTGTCGGTAGAGCTAAATACCAAAAATAATAATTCAGACATTTTTACTATGACTATGTTATTGCATACCTCCGTCGTGGTTGAAAAACCATACAAATCTTTTACCGGCCCACCCCAATGTCATAAGTATCAGGCTTATGGACATATGAAAATATATTGTTGGTATAAAACTCGTTACGTTAAATGCGGAGAAGAACATCTCACGGAAATTTGTCCCAAAGACAGCAGCCACCCGGCTAAATGTACATTATGCGCAGGTGCTCACACCTCATCATATAAAGGTTGCCCAATATATAAAAAGCACGCTGCTTCCCTCAAGAAATATATAAAAGAAAAAAGTTTACCTCCCGCCCCAACTCCAGTCAAGACCGCACAATCCGTGAACCAAGATAATTCCAAAAATAAATGTTCGTACGCCGATATCGCAACAAATCAACCACCACCCATTTCAATTGACAACACCATCAAACATATCAGCGAAATTTCAGTTATCACATTAATCCTCTGATTAAATTACTTTAATTATTAAATCACTCAGGAGGCATTTTCCCTCTGAAATTTCCTTCTTCTGACAAAAACAACTTTCAACAAAATCATTTGTAGTATAAGTATTTATTAAATGTACAATACTCGTTAAAATTACCTTACCTAATAGTTTTTAATAAAATAAAATAAATTATTATCAATGTTTCCATAACGTATAGCCGTATACCCGTATAAGAACTATTTACTGAATGACGGTTTTGATAGGGCGTCAAATAAAGGTGGAGTTCATAGACTTATTAAAAAAACTGGAAGGAAAATTCCTTATATATATTGTCAAGCACATATAACATATTATCACTTGCACAAATCAGTATGCATAATAAATATCAAAAATTAAACGCTTATTTTATGTATTGCCCCCCTCTGTGAGGTAGACTAGAGGAAGTAATTGGCAAGGCTAGGTAAGTTAATGATATTTTTTAACTCAGTTAAGTTAATTGAGTTCATGTTCAATTAAGTTAACAATTAAGTTAATGCAAATGAGAATTATATCAATTAAGTTAAAAATTAAGTTATAAAATATCGTTAACTTAACTTCAATTAATAAGTTAATTACAAAAAAAATATATATTTAAATTATGCGCTGATATAAGTGATATATATATATATATACTAACAATTTACAATTTAGCTATAGTATGTAAATAGTTCAACTTTAAAACTTCAGTAACCTTACTACTACGATTTTTCGATAATCAATTGTATAATATTTTTTTTTGTGGCATCACAATATGAAATATAAGTTAAACAGTTTAATATTCTATAAACTTGTTATCGAGTACGGTATTTTACAAAAATGTTTTTCTGGTCTTAAAAATCAAAATTAACTTAATTGGGATTAATGAAAAAACTACGTTGATTTCAAGTTAATTTTTAAGGAAATTAGTTAAGTTAATATGTTAAGTTAATTTATCAGTAATGAAATAAGTTAAGTTGATAATTTAAATTAACTTAACTTTTAACTTATTTACTGGTTTATGCCCAGGCTTGGTAATTGATAAATTTTATAGTTTATATTAAATAACTTGACATATTCTTTTATTTTATTTTTTATATTAATGGACTCCGGATATTTTGTTATCATAAATACGTATTCGTGATCATAGAATATAATAAATTCACTATATATATATATACAATAGATTCATAGAATAATTCTCGGACAAGAAGTGAAATGGGCAGTAGATTAACACATTAGGCACTTCTGTATATTCACAAGCAGATTGCATTAAATTAGAAGAAAAAAATAGACCACTTTGCTAAGAACAAAAGATGTAGAGATTTTGTTATATAAATCAATAAAATAATTGTATAACTATTAATATTATACTATGATAAATATGATAATTGATTTTTAATGATGTTTGAACATTAAGGTTTCACAAATATTTTGTAGAGAAGACTAGCTAAATTTCAAAAATTGAAAAATATGGGTCTACACTCTGAATCTGAATCACATGTAAATTTATATAATTTTTTTATTACTTTGCCCCCCCCCCCCCCCAAACTTAGGTCGGATGATTCTCCTAGTTCCAACCATGATTTAAATAGTTTAATCAATTGAATTACACATTAAGACTTAATTTTTAAAAATTAATTTCGTAACTATAACTTACTATTCCCTTGTAGTCGATCACTACTCCTTCGTATACGTCTGGTCCACCAGGACGGTTAACTATCTTTCCTGGCGTTGGATTGCTGGTTTAATATTGTAACATAAAACAATTACAATAATTAAAAAGAATACCTAACCAAATTAATAAATTTAATTTAAGTACATTTAACGGATGCATTTCAAAATAATTAAGTAAACTGGATCGAATATGGTACGTTCGATTCAATTTCATTTCACTCATATAAATTGACGCATACGGAATAATTGGATTATTTATTAATTTTTTAACTCTTAAAAGTATTTCTTTTATTAATTTATTTATCAATTTTTTCTAACTGTGTGTACGATTGGAAAATAAACCATGTACTTAGGTTAAATCCTCGTAAATGAAATTGGAATAAAAAAAACTTATATGAAAAATTTAATAATTTAAAACGGGTTAAAGTGACTCGATCCGTGTCAAAATTCCATAATTAATTATTTAAAATAAAGCGTGTAGTAACTTCTTAATTTATAAGTGATATTTACTTTTGGTTATATGCAATATCGTCCACCATCATCGTTATTATGTTCTCTTCCGGTATTCCATTAGCTTTAACTATTTGATAGGCATGACATATATCCGCCTTTAAAATAAATGTGATATAAGTACTTGTTTTAATTAACTGTATGGTAAAATGTTTGATCCAATGATATAAAACAATGATTTATTAAACATAGTAATTCAAATATTATTTTCTTATTACTTCATATAGTATACTTCATTACTATTTCATAAAAAAAAAATTTAAAAAAAATGTAAAAAGCTATCATAATCAAAGAAGGTACTGAGTACTATCAACCCACTCAAAAACTATTTTTTGTCCACTTAAAAATTAAATGATAAGATAATCCATAAAAATATTTGATGGTGTTTATATTTATAATACTTGTCCATCGTAAGATCAGTACCTATAATGTACAGCCAAAAATCATCGTTTACTCTACATTGCACACACATTTATGAATATGAGTCAAATATTTATTTATACTATTTGTTAAATTCCATATTAATAATCATTATTTATACTATAATTAACTGTCAATGTTAATAATTTATTACAAAACTTCAATCAAAAATAATAATAATAATATATATTATTCGATTAAAACGCATGCCTCTGGTTTCGCTTACAAAATATGTTGATAGTAAAATATTAATTCATAACGCTAATTTTTAAAAACTTAATATCTAAACAGCGCCGGTGAAAGCTATGGGCGACTAGGGTGACTACTCTCGCTACGTACGATCTGCTGTGTAATGTCAATTGCGTAAACTAACAAGTTACAGTCAACAGATAATCAATATTCATATTTTTGGTTTAATTTGTATATTATATTTTGGTTTCTTATTAGATATTTACAATGAATTCCGTTTTTTGGTTGTCTTAATAAATAATTAATTATTGAAACACAGTATTCCTATAGTATAAGCAGTGGCAGCATGAAATAATATTTTACCCAAAAAACTTTCAAAAAGTAAAAAAACGCCAAGCTCAAAATTAGAACTATTATATTCTTGCGAGGAAAAAATACCTGTCCAAAAAATGCACTGATATAATACTAAATTATAGTACTAAATACATAGGTACTAATTTTATTTAAACTCACTAAAAAACTTAATTTTACTACTACCTACTCAAACTAAGTGGGTATAAGGGCTCCAAAACATGGTTTCACCCAAGGCGCCAAACTTCTAGCGGGCCCTATGTCTAAATTTATTTCGAAATACTTTCGAAATTACAAAAATTTCACAGAGACATAAACAATGATACCTATATTTCTGCAGTTATATAAAAACTATTAATAATCCTGATATAACTTTAAATGTACCAAGTACTATATAACATCTATATTCATTTTTTTTTTCGTAAGTCAACTACTTCAACATTTTCTGATAGTTAAATGTCTGTTTTTAGTTACCTGATGTCTGTAATTACTCCATCCACTCGAACCGGATACTAAAACTACCCATCTTTTTCCTTTGAATAAGAAATTTTCATCTTTTTCCATTGATTTTATATACTCATGTTTCGGAACGCGTATAGCAAACGATCCGCAAGCAAATAATGCCAATAATACTACATTCAGTATGTCTGTAATATAAATGATGGTATTTTTAGTTTAGGTAACTAAGATTTTTTTTTAATAATCATTATAAGTACCAGTTGTTATAATTTTCATAGAGATGTTTAATAACGAAGTACAATCAATGAAAAAATGAATAATGCAAAAACATTCAACATTAAAATAAGTAATGCTATGCAAACGATGTGAATTAAAATATAATAAAAATTGTAATACATATTTAAAAACGAAAAAATATAAGTGTTAAAACGTCTAATACGAATCGAAGTTCGATGTATCTAATAATGTTAAAATACAATTTTTCGAAAGGAAGATTTTTCAAAAGTGTCTGACCCGTTTATATTCATAAAAATTAAAAATAGAATAATAAAACAATTAAAAAAATAATTGCGAAGATATAAAACTAAAAACTTAAAATGCTTATAAAATAAAATAACTTTTCAGATATCATTTAAAAATATTTAGTAATCAATTTGTGTAGTAAATCATAAACTTTGAAAATTAAAATTATCTATCGTTTACATAACTTTACTTTTAACAATTGACATACAGTAAAATGTCAGAGTATTGTATGATTACATTAATATCTTTCTCGTTATATAAAAGTGTACACCACTTACACGTATACTTCATATAATAAAAATATAAGATTAGAATATCTAAATTTTAATCGGTTTTTATCATTAGGATTTTATACCTACATAGGAAGGCACCTCGAGGTTTGAAATGAATAACGATGCATAATTAAATTATATACATAATTTTATTAAACATTAATTTGACTACAGTCTACCTACTCACTATTTTCTTATATCCCAATTTATGAATAAAATGCATACAATTTATTTTAATAATTTTTAATAATAATTTATCATACAATAATAATAATAAAAAAAATAAAATAAAATTCAATAATATCCTTTATATTTTGAATAATAGAACTCAGAATTTAGCTGTGTATTAAAAATGCCATAAAAAAATTAAGGAAATACAGAGTGAAATGTAATTCGCAAAGCCTCCGTACTTCAATATTGTCAGATAAAGGAATTAAAATTATTATTGTTTTGGACTAGTATAAATACAAACGTGATGACAATGTGTTAAGTACATATAGGTACCATTAAAGTTATAAATATTGACAAACATAATACAAATAACTGCTATTGGCGTGTGCCCATAAATTACATTTTTCTGCTAAAATATTTTAGTCCACTTCAGATTTGAAAATAGGTATACAAATATTATAATGTATGACTTTACTACCCAAAAGTTAGTGATACACCTATTAGGGGGAAAGATTTTAAGCGTCAACACTCGTATTTTAGGTGCATCACAGTGTTGATCACAGTAAACCAATCCATTATTAAAAAAATATTTGCGTTCGAAATTAATACAAAGGCGTTGAATAAAAGTTGAAGTCACGAAGAGTCGCAATATTAATCACTCATACACTGCCTATAGTGAAAATACCTCAGTATAAATCTTACCCATGGTCACAGATTGCCGTTAGGTTGCAGTTGATGATCACTGATGTCGCAACGGCACGGCGTGTCAGAACTGCGTTTGGCACAATAGTGGTACTTACTAACGTATTTTAAAACTGCGAATAAGCAACAATGTTTTTCTTTTGGATCGAAGAGTGTTTCTATACGTGATAATATAAATATTATTCTGAGATATTCTACTCTCTGCTGAGCAAAATCATAATTAAATCAAAAATACAATATCATGATTACATTTATAGAGCAATACATTCGACACTTGAAAATCCCACAAATTAAGAGTAGTAGTAATGTTATTATGATTTCGTGTCAAGTAGGTGAACAACCCACAATACGATTTTCAATTTGTTTGTATTGACTATCAAAATAATAATTACGCAGACGTCTAAGTAGTTACCAGTCTCTGTACCAACCGGTTTGCATAAATCAGGAGTCCTAAACCGGCCCAGTCCTAAATCTGCATCTAATTTACAAACAAAAAACTTTATATTAAAACTAATATCAATTAAATTCTAATGTGTTACATGATTATAGCAGTTATGGAGTCAAAATAATATATCAGTTGCAACCCAGCTTTGCGTCCTTGGCCATTAAGATTTCGAAATTAATTTGCATCATTTGTTTGTGACCATCTTCTTTCACGTTATTGGATTTTAAAAAATGAACAGGAAAAATGTTTCCAAAAAGCCTGGGCTTTCAAATATAATAACAATAATCGAGCAATAGTTTTAGTAGAATTTTCTTGGTTTTTCATTATACTCGAATAGATACAATATTAAAACATAACATGCCGATTTAAAACTCTTATTTCATGATTGTATTTATTATTTCTGTACTTACTTTATCTTCACTTAATTTAATTTCACTTAATTTACTTTTACTTAAACTTCATATAAAATAATTTATAATGTTTTATAATATAACTGAGTACTCTGCAATTTTTTAGAGTCTGAAATAAGCATTATTTCCACTTATTTATAACTAATTTCAACAATAACTAATAACGAAGATCTTTCAAGTTATCAATGTTTTCGGAAAATTTTTTAAAAGTATAGGATTTAAATAATTTTATAAGAATATTTTTAATACTTAATATACTTTATAATTTTCGTTTCATTTTTCTTGCTATACTTAAAAAATTAAGACAGTGTAAAATAAACATGATAGTAGGTATAACTATTTCAAGTTTATAGATTGCAAACTATTTCAAATTTTGAATGATGTTTTCGTAACCATTAATTATTGGAAACCCCTGACTTCCATTAATCTCCATTCCCACTAACCAAAATATTTAAACAAATAATTAAAATATCTTCAAGTAGTGTACCTACTTAATCTTATCGTTCAATAGTTAAAAGTTATGACATAGCTTACTTATTTCAAAGAATCACTTTACCATAATTTTTAAAGTATTTTCTCTAATGTTTTTTTATAAATGAATAGTTCCTAAAAATTATTATCTCTAAGTAGGTACCTATTCAAAACTCGTCAAGTTCCTAGATAGACAATAAAGATAACAATGTCAGAAAATAATTGAACGTGACATCTGAGAACAAAAAGTGAGAAATGTCATACACAGAAGTTATTACACATGTTTTTGTGTCAACACATTTGAAAACAACAGTAAACCATTCCTACAAATGTTCAATTTTAACTTAAATATAATTGATACATATATTTTAAACCTGGTAGAAGTAAAATGCAGTACATGTTTGCAGTAATCGTTGGATAAATCATTTGATTACCAACATTGCATATACAAATTACAATGTTCACTATACTCACGAATTTTATGTAGTTATTTACTATTTAATATAATAATATTTAGGTAGATTCAGGTTTTCAGTTATTAAACTTGTTTTTGATTATGGTTTTTAGGCACTATAGTTATTGCATTACATATATTATTATGGTATGGTATAGGACTTTTTCCATCAAACCGCCTGGGCCATGCAACTTTATCTATGATTTAAGGAAATTATACATATGAACTTTTTTTCTTTTTAATTTACCTTTGTTCGCACATTACAGCATAGGTACATATGGACTTGTTTTATAATTTTTAATTACCATAACGGATTCATTTTCAAATCTATAAAAAAAAACAGTTCAGATCTTAAAAAGATAAATAATAAATTATTTTCCAATTCCATAAGATAATAATCAATCCAAATAAATAACTTCGCTTTGAAAAAGTGAAGAACAGCAATTAATAAATCTAAAATATTATAATTTCCCATGTAAAACTATATTTAGGATTATCATATATTGATATAATCATATCATATAATTAAGCTCAGGGACTTCTAACTCTAAAATACATGGAAACATGCCTGCAATATGCTTTAAAAAAGAACCAAATATGCACTAAAACATGCTCAGACATTTTTTTATTTCACTGAAAAATTTACATATACTTAATCCTACCTATACTTTATATATACTTACTTTATTTATTATTATTTTTTATTATCGGTAAAGGTATTTATATAAAATATATATGTTCTGATGGGTTTGAAAGTTATTGATCAAACTAAATGCTTGATTTTGAGCCTAGAATACAAAACAGAAAGATGAGCTTACAATAAATTTAAATAATTTAAATTTTTCATTTATCTTGTATTTTCAAATATAAGCCCGTGATAGTTATTTTAAAGCAAATTTTTATATTTTGAAAAGATTCGTTTTACATTGACAGAATAAATTAGCGCATACTTAAAAAATACTTGATCATAATTTATTAAATATTCAGGCAATCACAAAAATAAATACATTGCATACAATAAGATATATAATTTTTTATAGCACTTAAAAGCTATATACTGTTAATATATACATTAAAAACTAAATATGACATTTTATATACATACATGTTATATCACACGAATAAGAGGTAAAAAATTAGCTAAATTATTATTAAAAAAAAGATTTAAGAGAATTATTATTGATAATTACTAGGGCTCGGATTTCAATGCATTTGCATTTTTTTTTTTTTTTTGTGTCTTACGCGATGCTTTCCAAGCTACGAACATGTTTTAGGTACTCCGTGTTTAGAACACAAACATTTTTTGGGAAATTTTTAGCATTTTTTTTGCATTTTTAGCAGTTTTTATACTTTTTAGAGCATTTTTTGACGCTTTTAATGCATTTTTTTTTATATTTTAAGACATTTTTGACCTATTTCTCGTATTACAACTAAAAAAAAATTGACCTCATTGAAATATAAATACTATATATATAATAATATAGTACTATATAATATAAATTACTTAATGAAGGTACTTAAAGAATATATTATAAACCTTAGTAGCCTTCCAGTTGCAATAATTAAGTTAGAAACCTCAGGATTAGCATTAACAGAGTCTATAAATATTGTTGCTACGATTAAAAATATTATAAAAAAATTACCAAGTCAAATTGGAAAAAATGTAAATTTAAAATTTAACAACGTTTTAAATAAAAATAAAGGCTTTAATCAAATAAAAATAATATGTCAAATATTAGAAGAAGAAGATATTAATCCAAAAATATTATTCCAGAGACTTAACCCTTAACGTATGACATTTTTCAAGTATGCTCCTATCACTTGATGTTGTGAGGTAATTCTCAGTGTATAAAAACTTATTGGCAGACAACCGTCGATCATTCAAATTCCAAAACTTAAAAGAAATATTAATCGTACAGTGCCATTCAAATATGTAATTTAATTTTTAATTCATTTTTTGATTTTAACTTTTTTTTTTCGTTGCGTAATGTAAATAACATTTTATTTTTTACTCAATTTTTAATAATAATTTGAATTTATTTAATAAATAATGCATTTTATGATATTTTTTAGAGTTTTTAGGTCATAAATGCATTTTTTGAAAGTGTATTTTTTGATATTTTTAGAGCATTTAAATTTGAGTCCTAATAATTACTATATTGAGACTTGTATTGAGAATCGTACTGAGAAACTTATTGAATTATTATTATATTATTGTTATTCAATTATTTAAAAATAAATTATTATTAAATATTATATAAAGTAGATTATTTTTAATACATTTTAAATATTTTATTACTTAGGAATACATATTCTCATATATAAAATATCTCCAGGACATATACCTACAGTACTTGACCTACATCACAATCTGTAGTGCACACTTAATAGAATAAGAACTTCGCATGGCAGATGTGTAGATTTCTTGCACAATTGGGGCATAAAAAACTCACCATAACGTGACAACAGAACGGAGAATCATACAGTCTATCACATTAATTTTGAATATCCAATTCACTATTATCGAAAACCAAAAATTGACTATCTCACAACCCCTCCCACTTTTATTAAATGTCTGGTGAAATTAGAAATATTAGAAAACTCTAATACCAAATAGGTATATTGATTTGTTACCTTATTAATATTACAGACTACTATTACTTAAAATAAAATACTGTATTTTATTCTATTTTTTTTTTTTATTATTCTTATTTACATTAATCTGAAATATATTAACCCAATTTATCATATGTAATCATATTATAATTAATCTAATGTATGTAACCACAAACTATAAGTTGAAAAAATAAAATGGGTATATAATATTATTGTGTGTTAAGAATTAATTAATTTTATTTTTAAAAAATAAAATATAATATAGTCATAATGATTTAACAATAATAAACAATCATAATCCAAATGAGAACTTGTATTTTAGTTTATTTATATTGATATTATTTGAAATATTACATACTTAGTTATTATTATTATAAATTATTTATACATATATTGACTAGCTCAAGTTTGTTGTATTTTGAATAAGTGATAATAATATTAATGTTACTTAAATAAGACATGTATTTCTATAAGTGATATTATGAATTATGTTTATTATTATTAATAAAATTGCCTAAATTAATAAATGTTGTAAAATAAACATAAGACATAAAATATTGCAAAATATAAGGTTTATTTTGCCTAAAATTAGAGTAATGGTTTAAAATATAAATATAAACAATAATATTACCAAAATCAGTCTTAGCTTAATTTAACTACTTAAAATTTATTTTGATAAATTCTTAATTTGCATCTTCTTCTTCCTCATCACCATTTGTAACTTCAGATATTACGCCATCAGTTTTAACTTGACCAGAAAATTGTCTTGAAGCATTTAACAACATTTCTGTTTCAGTTTCAGTCAGTCTATCATAAAAATCTTTGATACCCTTGAAAATAAATAAAAAAAGTTTAAAATAATTATTCAACAATTCTAGGAACACTTTTAATTAGTTATGTGTTTATTTAACTATGACTATTAGTAAATAATCTACTATACAAACTCCTATTAACGCAAAATTTAAGTTCACTTAGAAAATACTTTAGAACCAAAATATCTAATATTAATATTTCATACTTAAATAATTTAAGCTTTAAATATTTTATTTATTTTAATTCATATATAAATGTCAATAGTTATATCAATTGACTAATCAAAAATTAGTACTGAAATTAAATTAATTCAGCTAAATAAAAATTATGATATTTATATTTTAAGCACCATTAAAAGTAAGTATCTACTAAATAAATACTTACTAACCTTAAAGAAAAAATTACTTATCGAATTTCAAATTAAATTTATGTATGATGTAAATTATTTTTGTACATGGATATATATATTCAATTTCACAAAAACAATAAAATAATTTGCTTAAAGCACCACTTCAATAATTTCTACATGAAAAATTGTAATGCCTAAATAAATCACTATATAATTATTAATATCACTTAATTTTTAACTTAAATAAATATATACCAAGGATAATTGTAACACTGAGTCTGGTGGATCATTAATTAACATCAATTTTTCCTTTTTTGTCAAATTAATTGGCATATTTTTCAACTTAATTAAATATGCTCTTATTTTATCTGGACTTTGAAAGGCACATGCTTTGTTTTCCATATATTTGTGTACCTATAAAATAAAAATATCTCTTAATTTAAGAATAATAATAAATGAACCATTATTTCAAGATATTTAACTATTAGGTTTATTATACCTCATATAAAATTGTTGAATGGTTCATACCTCCAAGAACTTTTGTATTTTCTTGGGTTTTTTTTAACAGATCAAAAACCTAAAGCAAAATGATTGAATTTTTTAGTATATAGAAACAAATATGATTCTATAATTTAAGACTATATTACAAAATAATTGTTTTCTGTTGTTTTTTTTTTTTTTGTGTCAAAACAACAAGAAATAAACTTTATGTTAGACGAAATATGTTTTGAACCAAATCAACGCTAAGGTTGCAGTGTGTGTACACTCTACAGTTGATAAATTATTTTGAATGTATTTTTTTTTTTAATCATAAATTTACAATTACAACTCTCAATTAATTCAATAATTTTAAGTGTTTCGTGTATCTAATAATTTCTAGATACCTAATTAAATTAACTGAATAATTTACATAAACTTAATAACTAAATAATATTAAATTAATATTTTATAAATAAACCTAATTTTTTTTTTTGTCTATTATAGTAAAAGCTAGTAAGCATAGACCTTATCATAGCACGAGCTGAAAATGGTTGAAATTACAAAAAGGCATTGACAATCACAGTCACTAAATATATAGTAACCTAACAATCGATTTATACAGCAGCAGTATAGAAAAAACTTCTATTGCTAAAATAATCCAATCCGTCAATATACAGTTTAGGTTTGTTGACTATAAATGTAATCTACCAACATACCATACAGGTGAAATCAAAGTGTTGCTATTAAACTTTTGTTTATATAGATTACCCACTTCAAAGCGTTTTCATACGCATGGTTGTCATTGAAATGCATATTATTGGATACATTTATATATATGTCTAGCTTAAAATAACAACAATTACATGAGACGTTTATTATTTAGTGAACGATTTTTACCTCGTGATTGCTGAGTACAGCTACTTGTGGATTCTTCCTAGAAAATAATAAATCGAATACAATCTGCAAGTTAGACATGCATAACGATTTACTGCGGTTTTATACTTACACCTCCATAATATTACTGTCGCCGACTTGATAGTTAACATACAAACAGCAAACCGCTCACAAACGAATTCGTTCACTGTTAACGAATCCAACAGACGAACGTCGATTAACGGTATTAACTTAGACTATAATTATTTACCGGTCACGTCTTGTCGCCATTACAAGCATACGGCAACAAATGCAAACATTTCTTATCGTCGAATGTTACTATCACTCGGCTCGATAAGACCGTTGAACGTGTTATCACAGATTATCCGTCTGTTCCGAAACTCAGCAGATTGGTCAGCCGCTAGAATTTAGTGTTCCTAATTTCAGCGTTTTTTTCAATCCGGTAGAGAGGAGGTAACTAAGCTGATTGTTTTATCAGGAATCCGTAATTATTCGCTTGGACAAACAAAAATTCAGCTGGATTTGATAAAAACTACGCGCCAAATTCTAATTACAAATCATTTATGTGATTTGCAAGACATTTCAGTATTTCACATTTTTTTGCTATCAAGTGACGAGCACTGAAGCACTCGACAGTCTTTTCTGTTATAACATTAATAAATTCTATGGTTATAATGGAAAGTGAAAATATGGAAGTTAATAAGGAAAAGAAAGATTAATAATAAAGAAATATAAATATATTTAAATAATAAAGAAAATAATAACAAAAAACGAATTACTATTTTAATATTAAAAATGTTTACCTCGACTGAATTCCAGTTAAGTCTAAAATTACTTTTAAAGTATAAGTCATTGTACAAACTCGTAACTAACATGAAGTTAGTAATACGGGCTTTAGTATTTTTAAATTGATTTAACAATAACATTTTTTTCTTGTCTAAACAAGTATTCATTTCTTGAAAATTATTTAAAAAATATATTTAATGAGTTATGTTTTGAAGATTAAATTTACAATTTTCAAATAATATTTTATTCAATTATATTTTATATTTTATAAGTTAATTCATAACAATCGACAATCTTGCTTGAATATAACTGATAATTTGTTAAAATCATAGCAGTTGATGGCTGTCAAACGTATTAACCAACTTGTTACAACGCAATGCCATAAAAAGCTGTTCCTAAACTGCAATCAATCCACTAAAGTAGTGGTGGCCAAACTTTTTTTCCTCGGGCCATAAAAAACAACTTTTTTTTTATCGCGGGCCATAAAAAAATGCATTCTAAATTTTTTTTTACGTAAATGCAAAATATTACAGTTATACAAATAAGTGCTGTAATATAGAAGACTTTCGCGGGCCAGATATTAAATGATGGTGGGCCGGAGTTGGCCCGCGGGCCATAGTTTGGCCAACACTGCACTGAAGAATCCACTAGATTAATTGATGATTTTCGGAACACTCGGTATATGAATACAGATGGTGCACTTTGGGCGATTTCTCAAAATATAAACAAATCGCGGATTTCATATAATTATTTTATATAATCGTGGATTCATATAATCTGTGGTATTATGATTAGACAGTGCGAATCACGGAACGATATTGACGGCTGAACGGCAACTGAGCTTTACGTTCAATATTTCGAAAGCATTTACCAATAGTGATGGGAATTATCGTTCCATTTGTAGAATCGTTCCAATCGGCACAGTTACAATAAAGTACCAATTCCAAAATACTCGTTACTCCAGCACAATCGGTACAATTTTTCTTAGTTATAATTCTATTCGGAACGATCAAGTATACAAGTGCATATCGGAAAGGAACTTTTCAAAAGCTGGCTACACTATTTCCGGAAGACATAATAGATTATCAACAAAAAAACACGGAAATTTTAATATTTTTAAATAGTAATTATTAAATACTATTGCCTACGAATAAATAAATAAATTAAATACTATTTTTTAATTTTTATCCCTATAATTGTTTTAGACTTAGGCAAATAGTTTGATTAGTTCCGTGAACAGTATAAAGATACTGTACAGCTAATACTTAATGTTAGGCTTGTAAGGCGAGATGTATTTGTTCCAAAACCGTTTCAAACGACAAAAACCCGTACTTGTATTACAAGTATACAGCGTAAATTCCACCATGTGGCTGATCGGTTAATGTACTTGTGTAGTAATGTGCAGTGGCAGTGCGTCAGGTGAATCTTTGAGACAGCGTCTTCCCATATATTATAATAATTATAACATGGCAAAACAACATTTTTAAAATATTTTCAAATTTTTGTGTGATCTATGTATAATACTTCTTTTGTCGACAATATTTACTATACATATAAATGTATGTGTCAATAAATATACTTTCCATCGTGGTGCGCGTGTGGTATGTGTATATGTATACCTACGGCGACAAGTCGTCGCGCCTGACGACCGCAACCAGTCGTCGCGACGCTTTTCGGATAGAATGGTTTCCAAGACGCGACAAGTCGCAGCGACACAACTGGTATTCGGTCAGCGTCCGTTTTTAAACTTGTTCAAGTGCCGCGTATTTTTCATATAGTATAATATAATATAATATCAAAACTATTTTTATAATTAAAGGTCATATGGTGGTTATGATAAGGGACAACGTCGTCATTTCTGGAAAAATATAAATAGTAATATCTATGAATTTGTTGTAGGTATTATACTTTATACATTGTACGGTTTGTTATTAATATCGGCGATCGACGATATCGTCATTTCGGAAAAAAATAAACGCCTTCACCACGACCTTAGACTAATCTTCTAAGGCCGTGGCCCGCACTAAAGAGTAAAAATAGATAAAAACAAAAACAAAATATATGATTATATCATTCGATTCATGAGACTGCCTGCTCGCCTACAATTACCTATGTTAATTATTATTTTATTTTTATTTTCTATTGTAACATATAGGATGTTGGTATTGCTATCAAAATATATAATAATTGCAATTTAATTATTTGTTTAGCTGAAAAGTGGTATTCAAAATATATTTAAGATTGGTGGAGGGAGAAGAGGGGGGATGCCCCCCACGGATCTGTGTCAAATAATTGCGAACGTGAAACGTAGTTTTCAAATCGTTGAACTTAGCTCCTCTACTTATTTTTTCCCAATCCGAGCACTGATTTTAAATAATAATAATATTCTTCTTACATTATTATTATTAGAAAAAGAAAAACAACAACAAAAAACAAATTTTAGTTACCTCATCGTTAAACATTAGAATACCTATGAATTAATTATTTATATATTGGGATAGAGAATAATTGATGATGATCAAATGTCATCTTTTTGAATAATATTTTTATAATTTAGATCTCCAATATTGTAAAGAAGTGTATTATTCTGGACTTCACAAATTAGAATTTTGTCTCCTGACGCCAAAAATGTGTTGACGCCATTTATCTACAAATGTTTCAATAGTCGTTGTGATATGTCACGGCGACATGTCGCAAGGTACTATTCTCGGAGCAGTAGTGTCGTCGGTCGCGACGACTCAAAGTTAGGTCACTGTGACTTGTTACTTCTTGCAAACCAATGAATAACATTTTCGTATAAACAGATGTTGACGACTTATCGCAGCAACAGGTCGCCGCGACATGTCGTACCTTTAGTAATATTACCCAAATATGTAATAAATATGCGTATATTATGTTATAATCAATTTATTAACAATTTTACCCATATCTAATAATAAATAGAATTAGAGTGTTTATTGTTCTGTGGCTTCAGTGAATCCGGATAATTCAGTAAATAAACCTTACTCATCACGGCAATCCCATACACACATTATCTACTCAAAAACGCAGAACGTAATTTGGTTGAAAAAACTTAAAGCAAGGGGAAATTCCTTTGTTTAATCTAATAACTTTACACATAATGTTTAATTGTTAGAATATTATATCTAAGTTATAAAATAATAAGAACATTATTATTTATTATTATTATGTTGTTTTATAAACATAAAAGGTAATTGTAATATTTACCGTGAATATTTATGTTGATATATTATTTTTAACTCATAATTATAAATAGTTTATGACTACAAACATTATTTATAATTGTTATTTATAGTTTTGTGAAAAAAATAATTTTTCTATAATTTAGACAAGATAATGAAATTTTAATTTTTAAATAACATAAAAACAAAATAAATGTGACTACAATAATAATACTAATAAAAATAATAAATAAGTAGGTACTCTAATATTAAATATTTAACATATTTCAGGAATTATGTGAATTATATGCTTTATATGCTAAAAATGTGAAGTTAATTTGACAACAAAAAAATTGGAGAATGGAAATGTTGATGGCCTAGGATGTTATTGGCAGTTAAGAGAGTACTAATTATTATTATAAAAGTTACATTAATTTAATTACAGTTAAATATTTCTTATTAATCCTCAAATTTTTTTTAACAATTTATCAAATTCATAACAATTATCAAGGCTGGGCAAGTTAATGATATTTTTTAACTCAGTTAGGTTAAGTTAATTGAGTTCATATTCAATTAAGTTAATACACATGATAATTACATCAATTAAATTAAAAATTATTGACTTAACTTTAAATAAAAAAAAAAAATTTTTACATTAAGCACTGGTTAAATTATATATATATATATAAATATACTAACAATTTACAACAGATCTTATTTAACATTAATGATAGTCAAATTGCAGAAAAATATTATTTGACTCTAATTAAAGTAGAAAAATATACATTTCTTCATTAGGATTGTTTTTAAGCACTCAAATGTCAAATTTATGATAATTTATGAATAGTTTATTATTATTTATTTTTCATACAAATCACATATGATAAATTTAATTTAAAAAAAGTATTCTTCTTAACTTGCAATAACAGAATGAAAACTAAAAATAATAACTGCAGCTAAAAGTGTAACTATAAAATTATACAGGCAATAAATGTATACAGTAGATACAAAACATAAAAATATATTTAGAATATTATTCAATTTTATTAAAATCAAAACAAATAAAAACAATACAATGGACATGTTAATCAAAATATCTATTGAATTTCAATAAAAGAGTTATCTCAAAATTTTGATCCGCTTTTAAATTTCTTCTTATATCCAATAATAATTGTATTCTATAACCAATGATAATATGTACCTATTTATATAATATAGATTTACGGCTACTTTCATGACAATGGTAATGTAATTCATGGGTGGCTTGGCTATTTTTCCTCAATAGTCTTAAAACGGTTGATTACATTTCCATAGACCAGCGGAACTCCTATTATTAGTTGATACCGTGATAAATCTTATGCTCTTATCTAAAAATTCTTCAAAATATTTATTCTTATATTTTTCTAAATTCCATAAGCTTGTTATTGAACATGGTATTTCACAAAAATATGTTTATGGTCTTGAATATCAAAATTAACTTAATTGGGATAGATGAAAAAATAAAATGTTAATTTCAAGTTAATTTGTAAGGAAATGAGTTAAGTTAATTTATCAGTAATGAAATAAGTTAAGTTAATAAGTTAAATTAACTCAACTTTTAACTTATTAACTCGTTAATACCCAGACTTGATAATTATCACCTAGATCTATCATTAAATAATTAAAATAAAATATTTTGTTAAATTTATTCTTATATAAATTATATTTCTGATCTTATAAATAAATTCTTATGCCTTCACATAAATAGTCCTTCACTACACAAATACATCAATCATAATTTTCTGAGTAATATAGTTATCAAAAGGTTACATAGCTAAAAATAAGGTTCATGCTAAACAAAAACAAATACTTTTGTAAATACCAACAGATTATTCATGTTTAATATTCAAATTGTAATAACTAAATTAATCATTTATTTAATGTTAAAAATACAATAAAGTTTATCATAAGGTCTTCGCAAATGTGTATTACAATTTTATAAAGTTAATAAAACAGTTATATAATAGTTTAAAATATTGTGTTGTTAAATATTTTTATTTGCACATTTTAATAACCAATGTATAAAATACATAGGCATGGAACATTTCCTTTATCAAATTTTTATTATACATTATATTTTGCATTGTACATTTTAAAAACATTTACATGAACATATTTTAATACAATTCAATATTAAATTAGGTTACATCATTCAAAAACTTATCAATTTTAAACAACAATTTAAATTAAGCAAAATTCAAATGTAAACACAAGTATATTAACAATTCAAGAGAATACCATCATAAATTAAATACAGACAGGTAACTCTCTTACATTCATTAAAAAATTTTATCCACAAAAATAGGTATTTTTACAGTAAACCAGTCCTAATAAAAAATATAATTTGTTCACTCAAATATTTTATTAATTAATAAACATTTTAGGTCATATGAAAAATAATTTTTTGAAATAGAAACCTATTTCAATATACATGATTGGTCATTTTGAGATATGCACAAAGATCTGTAATTATGAATAAATATTTACAATAGTACATAATAAATAAAAAAATATATATAATACAATTTTTAAAATACTATTATATACTAATTTTGAACAAATGCAAATTTAAACTTCTGCTGCCAAAAACCTTAAAAAAATTAGTTATACAATATTCAAAAATGTTATCAATGTGTGATAGTTTTGAATAATATATATATTTTTTCTTACAAAGTACATATTAGATTAATTTTAAACAAAATAATTAAATTTTAACATATATAGTCTTAGCTCAAACAATTATTCTTACAATAATTGTAATGGATTCAAGTAAAAAATAAAATTAAAATAAAAGTATACAACTTTATTTGTATCATGCAATGCTTAAATTATAATTTAAAACATTTAATACTATTAATTAAAAAACAAAAATTTAACACAATTCATTAAAAAACAATATTTAATAAATACCCAATGTACTATAAATATTATTTGTTTTGTACATATTTTGAACTCTTAACAATAATTTATTCTTTAATATAAACATTTTTATTAAGTAGTATTTTATCAAGACAAATAACTAATAAAAATCAATAAAATTCAAAAATTATAAATCATATTTAATACAGATTAATTTAGGTTGTAAATGTTATTTGCTTAGTACTGTAACTATATACTATTAATTTTCAATTTTGTCCAAATGTTTTTAGTGACTTAAAATAAAACCTATTTTTATTTTTTATTTTTTGAGAATCATTCTATACATTTTTTGTATTGGTTAGTTAGAGGTCTAAATGTTATTAAATTTCTGAAAAAATTATCCCATATAATTTTAAAATTTGTTGAGAATGTTAATTATTTTTATTTGTTATTGTGTTATATACCCACGTTTATAATATAAAACTATACGCTATTAATTCAGATTATTCAGAAAAAATATATTGTTACGGTATAAAATTATCATAACGATGATACATATGTTTTAACTCTATACTGCTAAATTATTAAAAATAGAATAAATAAAACAAATATTTTTATATCAAATTATGGATGAAGAAAAAAATGAGATGATACAGAAGCTAATGTTATTATTAATCAAGTAATTTTTTAATATTAAAAATAGCAAAACTTGATGAATTAACAAGTAAGAATGACATTTTAAAGATTTTAAACAATTTTGTGAGGCAAAGAATTTTATTAGCAACAGCCCCAATTAAAAAATCATATTTATACTAGGTATGAACAGTATTATGTGATTATAAATTTAAAACTAATTTTACAAACTTAACTATTGATTATAAAATATTTAATAATCAAGACAACCCTTAATATTTTATAATGTTTTTAATATTCTGAATCTAATTATTATTTAGATTTTAGGCACTATTGGTTCAACATGAATATATACAGGTTTGATGTTATAAAGGATACACTTAGCTTTTAACCAATCAGGCAAAGAATTATTCTCTAGGGTATTAGTATTTGGCAAATTATTACATCTACTTATATCAAGACTTTTGGCTGTTATTGATGCTTTAGTTTTGTTTGTATCAATATTTATCTTAGTATTAGTCACTATTTTATCAATGGTTTCTTTCTTAATTTTGAAACGTTTTTTTTCAACAATAGTACTACAAGATGATTTTTTCAAACCATTTCTTTTCTTTGACAGATTTTTCTTAGCTGAAAGATTCTTGAGTTGTATTTTAAACCCTTGGATTTTAGACTTTTTGTTCACTACACAATCATCTTTTTTCTCTATTTTATTATTTTCATTTTTCATGCAACGATTAACTACGGAATTTTTTGAAAGATTTGATCTGATAATTATATCAGGATTGAATAAGCTTTTACGATCCTTTTCATATAGTTTTTTATAGTCTGAAGTTTTCATTGTTAAACCAGAATGGTTAAATGATTTGATTTTTGAATTCCCCATGCTTTTGTCATTATTATTAGTAGAATTAGTAGGATAAATTCTCATTTGCAATGTATTAGAGTTATTAGCAGAAACTAAATACTCCTCATTAAACGTTGAATTTTCAGTACTATCTTGCTGTATTTGTAATTCTTTATTTAGTACATTGTCTTTATTAGTTTGAGATACAAATAGACTATTTACAGAAGTTTCTGAGATTTGTACACCCATTAAGATATTTGTACCATTTTCATATATTATATTATTTTTATCGCTTTGAACTAGCTTATTGCTACTTGAGGTACTTAATGTTAAATTATTCATATCAATTGAGAGTTTTGATACTTTTTTACCTTTTTTGGATGTTTTATACCTTTGTCTTTTTATTTTGTTGGGTTTGTCATGATTTTCAGGTTGCTCCATTTTTCGTTTCATACTACTTGATGTTTCTCCTATATTCAATATTTGATGTTCCTTTTTCTTTAACGTTCGTTTACCATATTTTCTCCCATATTTATTTAAAATTGAACTATAATTAAGTTGTGGAAACTCTTCTCTTATATCTGGGCATTTTTCAACTTCCAGTTTACAATTTTCAATTTCAACTAAGTTCTTTAAAATTTTTAAGCCAGGACTTTTTTTAGGATCTTCTTCAATAGAATCATTATTGGCTACATTTTGAATCATTGAGCTATTGATTTGAATTCCATTACCAATACTTTCATTAGATAAATTTTCAAAGTTTTCAAAATTACTATTGAGTTGTAATTCTTTTTGCTCTATTTTTAAATCTAATGACATTAAAGAATCATCTGTTTGTAAATCATTATCACCATTAACATCTAAGGACATATGAGTAGTATCAATAAAATTATTTTCTATATTTAATCCACTTGTTTCTAATTCTATAAAATCAGTAGTATTGTTATTTGATTCTTCAAAAGGCAAATGAATTTGAGGCTGTTTTAGAAATTCTAGCTCCTTTGTACTTTTGTTATAACATTCTTTATTTATACCACCATCTGAAAAAATGTATAAGAAACAAGCAAATCAAATACTAGACACATTTAAGGTGTTTAAAACATTAAGCAATCTAAATAAATATTTTTTATAATAAAAATATAATATTTTTAGTGCAAGAAAAATATAAAAATATAATTTAATTAACAATAAAATAATTTTGGAAAAAATATATAAACAAAATACAAAGTAAAAATTAAACCTGTTATTTTTATTTGTACTGTAACAGTATGATTACGTAATAAAATTTTTATTAGGTATACTTACAATGAATCATTTTAAAGCTAAATACTAATAGTAGATTATTACTTATATTCTATAGCCTATTTCAAACAATGTCATAAGACAAAAACTATAGATACATATTAATTGTGTAAAATAGAATGGAATTAAGTGTTATGAAAACTATTTATAGATCAACTTAAAATATTTTATAGGATAGTGATTTATTAATAAAATAAAAAATTAACTTTTGCATTATTGTTAATAGAATAAAAAAATTGCTCAAATTTAATACCATAGTAGAAGAAACAGAAATATCTGATAAATTTCATTACAAATGTAATGTTGAATTTTCAGAAATTTACAGAACTTAACTTTTTGTTACAGGACATATAGTGGTACATAACTACTTTAAAACATATATAATTTAAACATTATTAAATAAAAGAGGGCGAAATACTTGGGTATGATACAAGGACTGGTGAATCACATATTGCTGTACTGGTTTTTTAATTTTGAAACCAATGTTCTCGAAAAAACAATTAAGAATTAAAGAGGTTAGGTGAAACAGTTTTATTTTTATCAATTGTTGATATAGTAGTAAAACTACATTTCTTAATATGGTTAAGTAAAAATTTTAATTAATTTTTTTTTATGTTAACCCATATTATTAAACTATAACAGATTAAAATTTAGAAAAAATCCAAATATATTGTGTTTATAAACAGCACAAATGTCATCAAAATAATTCAAAGGTAAGAAATCTTATTAAAATGCTAACACAAGTACTCAGTAAATGTTTCGAGACTAATTATTAACAACTATTTATAAAATATATTAATATTATAGTAGTCTTATACTTACTGTTAAGATTCGGCGAATATAAAGCACTTTGAGTTCGTTCAATATTTTCAGTACAATTAACAATTACAAACTTGCAATAAAATTCAAAAGTAGCACTAACAATACCATCCATAAATGTCTCGTATTCAGATTCAAATTGTTCTCTAAAGAAAAAAAAAATGAATTACAATTTATGTTGAATATAATTTTAATAAGAGTTAAATAAAGTTTGAATGATAAACTATAATAATATAAATTATTATATAAACAAATAGGTCACCAATAAGATAAGCACTTTGTAACAAAAGTTACATTAAAAATATATTAGTTTTTTTTATTTGTTGAATTATTATTAAATTGTTAATGATCAACTTAAATAAAGCCTCAACTAAGAAAATTAATATTTGATAAAATGCATATAATATAGTTATTATTAGGGAACAGATTTATATATAAATGCATATTTTTATTAGAATAAGATATTTAAAATGTAATAAGAAATTATTATGATCTAAATCAATTAAAAATGCACAAATGAAATTTTACATATTTTCATATATTTCACTAATTTTTTAAATATTTTTAAACATATTTTATTGTTTTATCATTTATTTATATGTTTCCAAGCCATTTTGTAGTGAACGAAAACAGTTATTTATTGGTATATTATCATGATTTATATATTAGGTCTTGATTTTTTTTTTAACTTTCCATGCAGTGCAATGTGTAATAAGGCCTATAATTATATTTAATATAGTATATCTAATATAGTTTAATATATATTGACAATCATTAATAGGCCATAGCAATAGATCTTTATAGTTAGTGTTAAATTAAATCGTTCATATCTACATAAATCCAGACAGAACATTTTTACTCTAATTTATATAATACTTGTAACATTAATTCTTGAAAAATACCAAAAATTAGTAAAAACATACATCCAAAGAAATTATACACAATAATTTGCAATACAAAAATATAAAAAAACATAAATCATAATGAAAAAGTTAAACAAAGCTTTTTCTGATCAACACCTACACCTAGTAATAGTAAGTCCATATTTTATACTGATATTTTTCGTGCACTAATTTGCTCATATATTCCATTAATTAAGTCACAAAATTCTGATTTAAAAATACTATTACTTTTATAGATATACTATACAAATATAACTATTGATACATAAAAACTAGAAATATAGATATAAAATGCAATTGAACAAAAAACAAATTAGAAAAATCTATAATATATATAATCTCTCTATACTGTGGTATAAAATATCTACAACCATGCTCTAAACTATTATTCCATACATTTATTATTATTGACATTATACAGTTAATTTTTTTTTTTAAAATATGAAAATAAATATTATTAAGTGAAGTAACCCAATTAAATATATGAAGAATAAAATTTTCCTAATTTGTTATTTTTTCTTAATTATTGATTAATTTAGTTATTATATTATGTTCATAAATGATAGTACGTACATTTTGAATCAATGATAGAAAAATTAAAACTTGTAAGTGGACAAATTGATGTTTTAAAAAAGAAAATTCATGCATGATTAATTTTACAACAATCAATCATTTATTATTATGTTATATTTAAAATTGGCAGAATCCCTTCAAAAACTTAGTAGTTTTCAGATATGCACTTCAAATATGCTCCAATTACATCGGTTGATTTGAGACCTAATAGACAACATTTCACATTCAATAATTCAAGAAATTGTAATTATTCAATGCAACACATTATTTGTTATTTTTTGATTATTAACTATAAATTCATACTTAAAGTATTTTTTCCATAAATATATTCTAAAGAATCTAAGAATGCGACACCTAAAATAAAAGAAACTTAAAAACACATGTTTAACAGCTTCTAGAAACTTTTTATGACTTTGCAATAAAGAGACCTCACAAGGGAACATTTTTCTAAATTAGACTGAATGAAAGACCAGTAGACCAGAAGTAGAGCATGCTGTCCTTAAAATGTTTACAACAATTCTATTAGTTTCATTGTTTTATTTCTGATAAATGTAACATGTTTGTTGAAAGTTAATTTTTTTTTATCAAATATTACCCCTAAATCTTTAATCTGAACTTGTTCCAGCTAAGCACTATCGATAATAAAAATATAACTAATATTATATAAACAATAGAAGGACAAGATAGAGTGTTGGACATATATTTACTTTACTAACGTTAAGGAATAAATTATTAAATTAAATTAGTAGATTGTAATATGCGGTAAATAGCATATGACTAACAAGTCCAGTGGCATAAATTGGGCTACATTTTAAAGGTTGCGGACTGTTTGTAGAGCTAACACACTAGTGGGAAGGCTTTTCTCCCCACACAACCTCTATCCCTAAACTCTTTTTATATTCAAAATTTTAATAAAATTTATTACAATTACATTTATGTTAATGCTTTGTAATACATTTTATAAAGGTAAAACAAATATAAATTTTAAAATAACATTTAAAGAACACAGTTCAGAAATAAAATTTAAAAAAATTTTGGTAAACATGTTATAGAAAATCACCATAATTTGATACCAATACAAACTTAGAAATATTAAATATCTAAAAACATTCACATTAATGCAGTTTTAGAATAATTACACATACACAATGAAATAAATAAAAATAATTTTAATAATATTTTAAATGTACAAACAGATTTCAAAAATAATTTCTTATACCAATACATTAAGGACAATAATAAGTAATAACCAAAGTATTTATACTTTTTAATATATCTGTCGTAGCCACTTAGTGAAATTAACCATTTCATGAAAAGTTGACCATTTCATGAAATGGAAACAACTTTTTAACACTTCGTGAAATACGGAAATATTTCATGATATGGTCACTTTTTCATGAAACGGTCGTTCCAATTTGACATTGTGTAATTTTTTTCACAATCTGGTCGTTCACTTTGTGTACCGAAAATATATTATTAATATAATATTTATCATGGTCTTATAATCATTTTTATCAACAGATATGAAATATGTTATAAGTTATAATTTATAACTATTGATTTAAGCACGAAATTCCTTTACCACAAATTTTATTATACAATAATATCTATTAAATAAAATTACTTGGTTATCTGAAACGAGCCGGTTATATTTTATTAATTTTGATTTATCATATTAGATTTTTGTTCAAAAGTGTATGTCGGTGAACGGATTGCATTGTGCTCGAACATTCACGCATTTTAGATATTTACTTTAAAATAATTTTGTATAATTTTAATAATATGGAAGATTTTAATCCAAAAAGTGAATTTTACATTCGAATGAACAAGTATTATTTGGACAAACCGGGAAAAAAGCCATATACAAATATGAAGATTGATACAATTATGGCCGAAATTACTGATGCTTAATTAAACAAGTACCTACAAAATAGATAATTTGACCAACCATTAATCATGAGTATCGGTAACTAATTTAAATTTAAATTTCACAGAGGTGCAAAGAAAATACGTGATTATTATATTTTACAAAAATATGATGTATTGACTGTGGCCGAGAAGAAATATTTAATTCATTTTAATTCAATTTGTCCAATTCCAGAAAAACTCTTCACACCACTGCATAATTGGCCGATCTCCTTACAAAGCATTATTTGGTTGTGAGCCTAAGGTTGGATTAACAACATCTAATTTACCACAAGAAGTTTATATACAAGAATAAACAAATGTTAAACAATATTGTGGAATTTGTAAAATTGAATCCACAGAAGAATTTTGTGATTTGTGTAAAACAAATCAAAAAATAGAAGAAGAACGTGAAGCAGCGCATATAGGTCAAAACAAAGTCGCCAAAAGAATGTTACAGGTATCTAATTATTTATTATTTATAACAATTTGACATACATAGTAAATAAATTGGATGTGTACAATATATTTAAGTAATTATTTTTTTGTTATTTGTTATAGGTTATAATTCCTACGTTCAATATTAATGACTGTATCACAATTCCTGTTCCAAAAGTCGATAGATAGAGGGCCTTTGGACCCAGCACGCATAATTGCTGTTATAGTTGAAAAAAAAATGAGTTGTAGGACATGGTTTAATTAAGGATGGTTAAGTTCTGGAAATATGCAGCGTACCACATCACATTTCATATCTGTTAATCAAGTTGACAAGCAAAACGAATTAAATTTGCGTGAAACAGTTAAAATTATATCTGGAGGTCAAGGATTTTTGAGTTGTACATGCAAAAGTGCTTGTCAAACTAAACGTTGTGCTTGTTTTAAAAGTAGTATTAAATGTAACAACCGTTGCCATAATTCATTGAATTGTTTAAATAAATAACTATTAACTATACAATAAATTATATTATATATAAGTTATTAAAATTATTATATAATTTATTTAATTACCTACATATTACTACTCGTATTATTAATTATATCAAAACTAAACTTAATATAATATACTTACCATATTACACAATGTAACAAACAAAAATTATTATAAAATTTTGATAAATATAAAATATTTTTTCGGTACACAAAGTGAACGACCAGATTGTGAAAAAAATTACACAATGTCAAATTGGAATGACCGTTTCATGAAAAAGTGACCATATCATGAAATATTTCCGTATTTCACGAAGTGTTAAAAAGTCGTTTCCATTTCATGAAATGGTCAATTTCACTATGTGGCTACGACATATCTATGTCTAAATGAATTAATTTTAAATAATCTCTCTTATTAAAATAAATTATCTCATTGTAAAACAATTTTTCTCAATGTATTCCTTTCTTTATTTTTTCACATTTAGTAGCGAATTTATTAACTTTGTATATGCCTAATGATGAACTTTTAATTCAAAACCAGTTCTACATTAGGCATATAATACTCCAGGCTATGCATACATTTATTTATTATTTACTTATTTCTATATATAAATTATTTATTTATATATTAATTTATGAATATTAATAATTTACCTTTTTTTTTTTTTACTTTATTATTGTATTATAAAATATACTTATACTAGTGTTGCAGTACAACATAAATTTAAACATCAGTGCTTAAAATATAAATAAGTTAATTATTATATTATTGATATTGCAGTTGGGCATAGTTTTAAATTTTTTTAATTAAATACACATTTATTTTTTGAAAACTGTACACTTGATATTTTAAGGTTAGGCAAGTACGACACCTCAGTTTACACCACTGAATAATTCAATTTGAAGTATGCAAAATTAAACAACACAATCAAAAAAACTCAAATGATGAGAGTACAAGTGCAATAACTGATTTTTTAAATCAAACCAGCTGTTACAGGCACACATAATACTGTTAAGGGCACACAAGATTATGTATCAGACAATACACACACGTAGGAGTATTATAACCAAGGGGTAATTTTAAACATAATGCATACATGGAGGAGTGTCTTAGTAGTGCATTTATACTAGAAATACTATAACCAAATTATAAATACATTAACAATCGAATATAGGGCTTTAATGATCAATATGATAGACATAGGCCAGTTTAGTTAAATGATGAATGCGTGGGAAACACATATTAAATAATATTAAACGGTAAATGTATGAAAGTGTGACAAATGTTCATATATGACAAACAACCAGAGGATGGGCACATAATAATTAGATAAAAGCCACATCCCGGATTAACAGGAGAACTCCATACTTGGGAAATCACATTTTACTAACCATATCCTGTGTTGGAGAGTTATGAGACAAAGAACGTTATAGCATGTACCTTCACACCAGTTTGTTTAATAAATGAATTAATTGGACTTATTTTTATTTATTATTTGAATAGTTTTGATAAGTTAATAAATATTTGTACTTAGAATTTATTCATAACAAAAGTAATTGACTTAAGTTGAGAGTTTATTATTTCACACCTATTACTATTCTACATTGATTGAAATCTACTCTCGTTACACTGTCAGTACCCACAGACTGGCACTCAACACTGCATTGCATAAACTATGATTACTGTTGTTATTAGAAAACTATAAACATGAATACAACAGAGTCTAAGAAGAACACTATCAAACAATAATGACTTACTTGTTGATTTTCTTCAAAATTTCGCGATGCAATTTTTCCAAATTTGCATTGGATTGCACTGCACTGGCCATGCTCTCATTCACGTCATTGATCACGACATTTTTTAAACCAGCAACAAAAACCTGTAAAAGCGAAAAAACAATATGGTGGTTGAAAACTTAAGACACGGCCGACGGCGTCGGGTTGGGAGAAGATGTGTTGGCGATTGTTTACGTTTTTATGCTGAACGATTTGGTCGGAGATCAGCGACCGCCATTGCTCGAGCGTCAACTTTACAGGGTCTAAGAATGTGGGCGGAATGTTCATGGTGTACACATATGTAATTACACCGTAGGTTAATCTGAAGCACGTTCGGGACGAGCGTCGGCGGCGACGTACGTACGTGGTGGTGTCACGCACAAACGTAAACCGTCGTGTGGTTAATGAACAGACGTGGTGGTGTCACACACGGACGTGAATCGTCGTGTGGTCAACGAACGGACGTGGTTGTATTACACACGGACGTGAACCGTCGTGTGGTCAACGAACGGACGAGGTGGTGTTACACACGAACGTGAACCGTCGTGTGGTCAATGAATGGACGTGATGTTGTACACGGTGGCACGAATGTCTCGGCCAGTGGCGATACAACAGCGGCGAACGGATAACGAAGGTGATAATTCGGCGACGCGTGTCAGAACTCAAGGTTTCGGAACAGAGCAGGGACGCGGATAGCATGAGGATTTCTTTGGGTTCAGCGCCGCACGAACGGTAGGTGCGATCAGCAGTGCCAGTGCGTCCTCCTCCGCACTCTTATCACCAACGGTCCCGATCGTCGCTATCACACGCCGCCACAACAGTGTTGATCTCGCGACCGACGAAAATTATAATCGAACGGAACGACGCCCGCGACTCCGTGTTCCGGGACGTGTACGAGCACGATATCACGAGGCGAAATAGGTTATGTCGTTCCCGACTTTATCGTAAACAAAACACTGCGCGACACACACCTCGTGCAGTAATATAAGCAAAACGAAAATCGATACCTACGATCCGCGATAATCGACGACGGCGGTCATCTGTTGGCCCGCGCAAATGTACTTGACACCGTTCTCGCTGCCCGTGATGAGATAGCACTATAATTATCACTATAGTGGCATGCACTGGGCCACCCGCTCGTCATTTTTCACCAGCCTCTCTATAACTTGTATAGATTACAACAATTGTTACCCGGTCATGGTTCGAAACCCTTTTTGTGCGATGAGATGGTGGCTCCGGGGAGGGATCGTTTGCATTGGTCTTGTGACCATATGTGCAACATGTATGTAGGTCACCGCACTGGGCCAAAGGTCGGTGTTTTCTGACGGTTTCTAGTTCTGTTTGTTGTGATGTCACGTGCGAGATTTTCATGGCGTCGTATAGTACCATGTCTCCACCCTCTAAACGTACGTACACAATACGCACCCATATACTGTCGTACCAATACCGTTTACACACACGCAGAAATGTATGTACGGCTTTCATGGTTGTCTGTAACAATCATAAGACTCAAAGGTACTCAAAAGTCCGATTAAAAATGAATTACTACTAATCGCTAAACGATCATGCTGTATATTAGAGCAGTGTTTTTCCAACCGTTATGCTAAGTGCGGTCCATAAATTTACTTTGTATTGAAACGACTTCTCAAAAAAAAAAAAAAAAAATCTTGTACGTTTTTTTAATATAATAACTTTTTCGTATACTTTAACGCAATACTGATAAATATAATTATATTCTGATAACCAAAAAAAATGTTCTCGTCATCAGTTTACAAACAGTACCAAAAATGCTATTTATCTAGGGGATTGCACATTAATAGTTATTACAATCATAACGTACACCAGCCCCGTGCGCAGGATTTTATAATGGAGAGGGTTTTGAAAAAAATATATATATAAAGTAGATACATCAATAATTAGCATTTTCAGTTGGTTGTGACTGGTTTTAAAAATATTTTCTTGTAAATAAAATGTAAAAAATATTTTTGTACATACGCGACCTAAATATACCAACTATCTCATAATTTTCTAGTCACGGTTTTTTGAAAAACTTTCGAATGTCAATTTTGATGTTAATTCTAACGACGTGTTTGAAAAATGAACGTATCTCAATGAGCTCCCAATCGTTGTGTATGATTATGAAAACTTTTAACATACGTAATCGTGTTCTACTAATAATTAGTAATAATACTGCAATTATTGCAGTAGAATAAAATATTATGATATTGTGCAACGTATATGTTCTACCTATACTTATATTTATAAATTTTATTGTCATTATATTTTGTCGATAAGGGCAACGACAGAAGTCGATAAACAGCAAACGTGAAGATAACACTATATAATATTATAGTATTGTACAACCATAGACATATAATATAATTCTATTATATGTCTATGTGTACAACTATGTTATATATTATAACAAATAAGATGATAAAATATCACATAATATGTATTATATTATAATAGATCAAAAATGAAAAACGCGATTTTTTCGGTCGTGAGGGGAAATTTGAACCCCCTTGCCTAACGTGCACCATTGTAGCGCATACATCCATATAATTGATATTGAAGACTGATCATGTGGGACCAGTCACGAATATAACGCGATAAAAAATTAAAAAAAAAAAGAATCTGGTGCCGTAGTATATAGTGGCGCGTATTAGGAATTTAACATGCATAGCTCGCAAGTTTATGCGTCCCGTGGTTCGAGCGCGCGGCAACAGCGGCGCACTAAAGGTGGGTATCGACTACGTGCGCGCCATGTTCGTCCGCGGCAAACCAGACATTTGCCGCGGGAGTCATATTTAAGGATCAACTTTTTTTTTAGAGCGTGGCAGCCTCGCGCGGCAAACGATCCAGCTGTTCGCCCGAACGATCAGTTTTGAAACAAGACACTTTTCATTATCCATCATGCCGCGAACGAATTTTAACGACAAAACCGTTCCAACTGCTCGGGAGCAATCAACTGCAACTCTTTTGCCATGCGCCTAAATACCGACGCGATTTGGCTCGCCACGGGGTGTGTTCGAAAGCGACAATTTTTGAGTTGGCTCGCGCGGCAACGCGGTATCCATTTGTCGCGGCTGCCACGCGAGCCAATGTTCGATAGTTTGCAGCACGTAGTCCATACCCACCTTAATAATAATAATAATAGACGAAACAGATGAACGGAATAAAAACACAGAATACACAAAGATTGAATAACTTACGGATCACACAATGCGGTAATGGAGAAAGAATCGACGGTAACATGGTAGTTGCTGGTATTCGTCGTTTTATTTTGTACACGCGCGATTTTTACACACGATAAAACACGGTAAACATAAATTAGCCGCCACAGCGAGAATAGTAATAATGGGCCGCAATGGGCATGCGACAGTGTAAACGTTTCGAAGTAAAAACAAAATAGAATATATGCATTTCAAAAATATATTTTAAACGCGATGTGGCTGTAAAAGCAAACAACGGACGACAACGAACAGCCGGTGCGATATTGCAACCGACATACAAAAATATTACACGAAATCCCCGATATTATGCTACAATAATAAACAATTATAATTGTTATAATTTACGTGGTTAATAAATCGGGAGGAAATAGAACAAGATACAGATAAGATGTGTTGTCGTCTCCCGTGCCATCTCGTGCTGTGTATCATCGATAAGACGAATAATAATAATAATAATAATAATTTCATAATTTAATGACTTAATACAGAGTGGTCCAACCTTTTGTGGTTCGCGGGCCAATTTACACTTTTTTAAACACACTGGGGGCCACCAGAAGAAAAAAATGTATACTTTGTCAATTTATATTTAATTTTATAATCTTATATTACGCGCACGGGTGCACTAATAAACGGGCTCGACTGGTTATTGATTATTGAATAGGTTTAGTTTAGAGAAATATTTAATGTTCGCGATTGTGAGTAGAATTCATGCCGTTCATCGCGTCTTATCACGAGAACTCCCGTCGTATTCCTACGTTTTATAGCGTAAATGTCATAAATTATAAATATAAAGTGTAAAATTTATACGATCATATCACGATTTTGTTAAAATATTATTGTGACTTTAATTTTTAATTAATAATAAAGGTATTGAAATTAAAAATGAAATAAACTTGAACTTATAGGGAAAAATCAGAATTTTAAAAAACGTAATTGGAAAAATTATTACCGAAATCAATATAAAAATGACACCCAACTTGAATAATATAATTGATACAATTAAATTAAGTTATCAATGATTATTATCTACTCTAGTAAAACTTTTTTTCCGGAGAGGGCGCGTTTACGACGATTTTCCAGGGGCGCCACTCAACTTCAATACGGTTTTGCATAGATATATATTTACCTATTTATAGCACTTATTGTCAATACTGCCAATCAACCATCAACAGCACACACGGTATCGATTAGATATTGATAATATCCGAGCATGTAGGAACGACACAACACACGTAAGTATTTGTGATTTGGTTGTGTGAGATCGGCTATAGATTTAGAATGTAGATTTTTAATGTATTTAATTTTTTAATTTTTGTTGTCAATTTCTTGAGCCGTTAGGAATTTGCGTATTCGTGAAATCTTTTCTATGGGAGTCATTTGGGCATAAGCAAACAATGGATGGGAGCTGTCAGGTTGATGCACCGTTTGAAATCGATGCATTGATTTCGTTTTGTTTTGTTTCGTATTTTATATTTTTTAATGGAGAAGTATAAGACGATATTGAAGTCGCATGTGTTATTTAAGCATTATACTAGGAATATAAAATCAGTAAGAAACAGCAACAAAACAACATTAAAAGACGACACATTTAATGTAACATATTTTACATTTAAAAAGGCCGGAAGTGGTGAATTCTAGGTGACGTTTATGACCTTTTGTAGCTATTCAGAAGAATTCATGAAAAATATAGACACTTAAGTAACTTAAGTGTAACAATTTTAGTCAGTTGTAACTTTAAAAAAAAAATAAAATACGTCTTGTCTACAGCAAAAGACAAATTATGAATTAACGCTAGATAAACGCGATGTAATCACGGCGATTAAATCAACCACGTGTATTGAAATGACGGAAATACATTGGAATCGAATAGAAAAAATAAAGATTAATTATAGTTGAAAATCGCTACCGAACGCTTAAAATTAAATCTGCACGATTCGGCGCGTTCGAACGTGACCAGACGCTACCAAACATACGTCTCATTTTCCTGTGTAAAGGTACGATTTCCACGACGCCACAAGTCGCAGCGACACAACTGATATTCAGTCCAACATCCGTGGTTAACATACGTTTTTAGTTCGTTTTTAAACTTGTTCAAGTGCGCAAGTATTTTTCATATAATATAATATCATATCACAACGAATGGATATATTTTAAATAATAATAATGTTGAAATTAAACAATACACCCAGTATATTTAGCATGTATTAGTTTATATTCATACTGTAGTTTTAAGTATATATACATTAGTATAGTCAGCAATTAATTGAGATGGCACGTTCTCTATGTGAGTGTGCCATATATACGAATATTATAACACAGCTATATACGGAGGCAGTCTGTCGAGATATGCGACCGGTTGCCATTGTACAAAGTGCGTTGTGTATCATATTTTATTATTCACGATATTAAATTGTTTATTAATTTAACCTAAACTGGACCTACTTATAAACCGATTCCACTCAACAAATAATATTCTTCTTACACTGTTATTATTAGAAGAAGAACAACAACAAATTTTAGTTACCTCTTTACCAAACATTAGAAAACCTATAAATTAATTATTTATAAATCAGGACAGAGAATGATTGATGATGACCAAATGTCATCTTTTAGAATAATATTTTTATAATATGGATCTCTAATAATGTAAAGAAGTGTATCATTCTGGACTTCACGAATTGGAATTTCGTCTTCTGACGCCGAGAAAATCAGTGTTGACGCCATTGTATCTACAAACGTTACTACAGTCGTTGTGATATATTGCGGCGACTTGTCGCGCAGCACTGCTCCCGGAGCAGTAGTGTCGTCGGTCACAACGACCCCAAAGTTCGGTTATCGCGACTGTCGCGTTTTGAAAACTGGTGTAATACGATTTCTGTGATAGCAGTTATTAGCGACAGTGCCGCAATAACCGGGTGTGTTGCGTGTGTCAAACACACGGGCCCATGACCCTAGCTTATGGTAATATTTTAAAAATATGTAGAAAGCAAGAGAATTAAACCATTTTGTAATAATAATTACTTATGGAGATTGAAAAATAAATGATTGATTTTGTTTTGTACACATTATCGTACATCAACGTTTTTTTTTACAGCCTGTTTAATCGGAATTAAAAATAGTTTGGTTACAAATACGGTACGGTTTCTCTGCATAGTCCGGATGCGAGGTAGGGTATTCATTTTACTTACACACGGTTAGTGTAGTTGCGGCACTGACTAGCGACATATCGCGACGACTTGTCACCGTGACAAGTCACGCTTTGGAAACCATACCTTAAATATAACCCATATAAACATTCATAATTTAAATATAAGGCATACTAGAAACACGTACATTATTACGAAAGTACACTAAAGAATTTTTTTTTTTAATGTAAAATAATTTATAAAATCTATCATTTAGGTAATCAAAATGTATTAAAATCTACTTAGATTTGAATTCACATCATAAAAATCGGTACATAGGTATAGATCATGGGCGTTTGTCCTATCCAGTGCCGTGTTAAGTTGTAATGCCGTCGGGTGCATACATATTTTGCCGCCTCATCATAGATATGAATGTATGATATTAAGGAGAACTATAAACTATTTATAGTTAATAGGGTTGATACAGATTATTATTTATATTTAGTATTTACTACAACTATACGTCTGTACAGGCGTACAGCAATATCCTCGTCCGTCGAGTCTCGACTGTGTTTACACATTAATGCGTGTTAATATTGTAATCATTCGAATAAGATATATTATTTGTATAGCCAGAGCCGGATCTAGGGTGGGGAAGTCGGGGATTTATCCCCGGGCGTAACATTTTAGAGGGTGTAATTTTCGTAATTATTAACAACTAATTTGATATTTTTAACTTCGTTAAATACTGATATTAGGTTAAAACTCAATAAGTACGATTGTATATTGATTATAAGAACACAATTTATTTGAGTATTTGTTTATTAATCTATGGATAGGGCGTAATTTTAACATTTTACCCGGGTGTAAAAATTCCTAGTTCCATCTCTGTGTATAGCCGTATAGGTATAAGTAAATAAGATTTATTATAATTAAAAATATTTTTCATAAATCCTTCAATTTTATAATATATTTCATAACTGATGGAAAAATTGATTTATTACAAAAAAACGAAAAAATATTTGAAAAATTAGTATACGAATGCCGCCTATGAAATATTTTTAAATTTTGCCGCCAGGGGCAAATGCCCTCTTTGACCCTCGTTAAACATACCTCTGGTCCTATTTTAAAAAAATGTGGTACCAACATTTAATAAACTATATTATATAGTTAAATTACATAAATTTAATATTTATTTTTAATATTTAATACTGCAGCAATTGACTTTGACGCGTTATGAAAAAAAAAAAAATCAATTTTGTGGCTTATCACACCAATGTGTTATCTTTTAATCGCAATACGCAAGTGACGATTCGTATAAACAACGGACGCTCGGGTATTCGACGCATGTGATTCTCTCTTGTGAAATTCTTACACCAGTTCAATATTATACTCGACAATATCCGTGCAACGATTTTTACAAGTCCAAGCGCTTTGTCCGTTTTTCGTCCGACCGAGTCGTATATTGATTGGCCCCGATGGCGGACCCGGTACCGGCCATGTTCGGATTGTTGGTCAGCGGAAGACTGGTGAGTAGTGGTTATCCTCTCAGCCCGATTCCGTAAATCGCCTCTTGTCCTGTTCACGTTGTATGCCTAGTTGCCCAATGTTCTTACTCTTCGGACATCGGACGTGTTGATATTTTTCTTCAATAATTTTTATCAATCGATGCGTGTTATGATATAAAATCAAACAGTGATATTATTAACGTAGTAATACTAACAAGTTTTGTGTTTCAGGTGAGGACTGACTTTGAACGCCTCGAAGAAACAAAATTCATGATAACTATCAATTCAGCTGAATCTGTGAATTACATTTGTGTGTTTTTGACTGGCCTCTTACCATTCCCTGAGGGGACGGTTGGTGCAGGTAACAATAACAATTATATTATGCTGTGTTCTACTTAAAGAACTAATTATTTGACCTCTTAAGTCACTCCTATCATTCTTAAATACTAGCATCCTATAAATTTCCTTATTTCATTACCTTTAAATTCATTGGCAGCTTGTCAATATTATTTAAAGTTGTATATCATAAATAATTTCAATCTATGATAATTCAAACTTATATTCAGGGCTCGGAAGTTCTAGCAAATGCATATTTTTCTTGGTTCATCTTAGAACATCCATAGTAAGATACAAATATGTTTCTCACTACTCGGATATCATACACAAAATTTAATTTTACTATTTTTTGCATATTTACGGGTTTTATTGCTATTTTGCTAATTTAGGGTTTATAGTGCTATTTTTGGGTATATTTTTACACAATATAGGAAATAAACACATTTTGTTGATAATAATTGTATTTAATTGGTTATGTTTTTAAAAAATATTTTAATTATTGGAAATAAATAGATCTCATCAAATATTATTTTATGTTTTCATCGACAATTTGATGTATTAATAGTTATTGACGTCATTGTTATTCCCTTATTATATTCATTATTGTTGCATTAGATTATCAAACATTTTAATAATCTAGGATAATTTCCAAGGTAAATATATAAAATAATTTAATAAGTATATTTTTATGAATATATTTAAGTAATTTAACATTTTTGTTAACAGTTTATAATTCAATCAGTCCAGACTGTGTCTAATGAACCCAACAATTTGTAAAATTACATTTTTTCAAGTTAAATGCATATTTTTTGATTTTTCGTGCTATTTATAGCGCATATTTTAGAGTTTTTAAGTGCATATTTAAGAGCTAAAAATTAACATTTTTAGTGCTACAACTTCCGAGCCCTACTTATATCCTACCACTGTATTGGTTAATATACTATACTTCATAATTATATCTTGCCTACATTTAATATAGATTAAGCTTTTTATTAGTTTAGAAATATGTTAAATAATTTACTCTGGTGTTTATAATACAAAATAAATGCTAAAAATAATAATTATTGTATGCTTCAATATAATGTTTATATATAATATCGATGGCGTGGCGCGCAAATTTGATAAGTGACATTTTTTTGAAAAATGAGTTAAGTGCATATTCAATTTAATCATAAAATTCTGCACATTATGCACAAATAAAATTATAACATTTTTCAAGTAATTGTTGTTCTTTATTGAAATTAGAAGAATAATGTGATGTGTTTAAGTATTACTTTTTACGTGCACAAAATATGTTAAGTACAATTTTTTTTTTAATTTTTTTTCAGAATACAAATGTGTTAATTGCAGATTTTTTAATCTTGATTATTCATTACATGTCAAAGAAAATATATCAAAAAGTTCATTGTAGTTCGGTACATTTTTTAATTGTTATAACAGGTCAAACTTAAGAAATTATTCTCCTGAACAATTACGAAAATGTCACTTATCACACTTGTGCGCTACGCCATCTATATTATATTAAAACAGTTTCTTTCCAGTGTTGAATATTAAGCAAGATATTTTTTATAATCTTAAGCAGTTTAGGTTTTATGTTAAACTGTAAACAGTTTATTTTTCAACCAATAACATTTTAATATTATATAAAAATAATAATAATTAACAGACAACGGCAAACTGGCAATAAGCTATAATTTAAGCATTAAAATAAAATATTTTATTTACACAGTCATAGTACTCATTACTCATTTAATTATTGTTGTATACTTTATATTAATTACACAGTTATTATATTTAAATATTTTATGTTTTAGTTTACTTCAGCTGGCCAGACGAACAGGCAAAACCAAATTGGCAACTTTTAGGCATTCTATCCAACAACAAACCATCTGCCATTTTTAAACTTTCAAATCTTAAACAGCAATTTGACTCATCGTGCCTTCCAATAAATGCATTTAGTCAGTTTCCATCAATTACTGTTAATGCTCAAATTGGAATTTCTATTGAACCTGCCATGAATGCAGAATTACAAGCACCTATTACTGAATCTTCACAAAATGTTTCAACATTTGTAGAGTTCACACAAAAAATGGTACAAAATTTATATAACTATGTATCTAGCTATGCTGTTGAAAGGGGACCCACCCAAACTCCAATGGTACCACTTTTATCTGTTCAAAAATGGTATGAAAATTTTGAGAGGAAGTTAAACTTAAATCCAAATTTTTGGAAGTCCTAATATTTGATTAAATATTTTTTTTTTTATTTATGTATTTTAAAGAAAGTATGTATTAATTATATTACAAATACATTAAATAAATAATTAATGTAATATGTTTTGACTATCAATAATTTGCTCTTAAATTTATGAAAGTTATAATATTAATTGATGTGCTTTGTATTTGTCATAAGATTTATATTATCAAAACTAAAAAATGTGTACCAAAATGAATACTATAAATGAAAATTTTTGATAAAAATGTACTTAGTGTTTTGTTAAATTTATGAAATTGGCTGGACATTAATTTTACTATCACATAAAAGATTATTCTATTAATACTTTTAATAATTTTCAAATTGTAAATATGTTTTGAAAAATAAATTAGGTAAATAATATTTTTTACAAGTATTGTTTTCTTTATCTCATACATTTTAGAAGGTATAAAGAAGGAATTTATAACGTTTCTGTTGTGATTTTATTTATATCCTTTTTAATAGTAATTTAATTAGTAACATAATTAAATTAAAATTACAAACCCTTTTGTAAGTATTTACCCCTAAAACTCAAGGTATATAATTTCTTTGTATTTTTCTAATTTTGTAAATAAAAATTACTAACCCAAAATTAATTCTATTAAAGACAACCAAAATGTTCTTATTTATTAGACGCTCTTAAATTTTTTGATTCAAAATTAATTACATTTTTAAAATTATATTTAAACATCTAAACTTTGTTTATCTAGATTGAAGTGTACTTTAACAAAAGCTTAGGTTGTAGAATCTGGCGTAAGAAACTTTCAAGTTTATTGTATAGGAGAGAATGGGGAAATAAGGGTCACTTAAGCAATAAGACATCAAATTCCCTTGAAATTAACAATTGAATCTTTATTGTTACATCTAGAATCAAAGTATATAAACTTTTTGGTTACACTGTGAATAAAGTTCAAACACTAAAAATAATATTTTCCACAGAAAAAAAGGTTTTTTAAAACACAAGAAATTATTGGTATTGTCTATATCATGACTAATACTTAGTCAAAATTCCATGTAGACATAAGTAATTTAAAATTTTTTTTCTTTTAATTAAATTTTATAAAATAAAATAGTAATTTCAGTAAAATAAAATGTATTACTTTATTTAACTTTATTATAGCTGTGTAATTTTAAGTACTTAGTAAATATTTTAGAAATAATAGACATAAGACAAAAAAAAAAAACTAATACATTTTATTTATTCCAAGTTACAGTGTTTTTTATTATAATACTAGAAACTTTATATTTTAATTTCAGTCCCTTCAAATGTAGGTAAATTTAGGTTCATACTAAATAAATTTTTCAGTCTTTATAGTATTTAATATTAAATATTCTTCAAAATTTAAATCAAACAATATGCTAAACAAAACAAAAAAAATTGACTACTTTTTCTAGTCCTAAAATATAAAAACTTAAAAAACTTTAAACATAACGCCTTCAAGTTTTAATATAAAAACATACTGATTAAAAAAAAAAAAAAAAAAGGTATCAATTATATATTCTTTATTTTTATGAACCATTTTAAGTGTACCTGTACCACAGTTAAAGGCTCTGGTTCAATAACAAGATATGTCTAAATTTCCAATTTTTCAGGAAACACAAAAAATATTTTTTTTTTCTTATAAGTTAAATTTTAAAATGTTGAAGCATTATTATATTGGTTGTTATGTAATATATTTCATATTATTAAATAATTAGCAAATTTTAATTATTTAATAGAATAAACAATAATATCAACATAATGCTTTATATTGGTTTTTTTAAGCGCAACAATACATACGTCCAAAACTTATATGGTTATTGCACTAAATATGTTATAAGTAGGGAACGGATTTATATGTAAATACATATTTTTATTAAAAGGGGATTTTTAAGATTCGATAAGAAATGTTCATGATTTAAATTATTCCTATTAATATGATGCTACTTTTATTTTACATATTTTTACATATTTCACTAATTTGTAAATATTTTTAAACATATTTTATCATTTCATCATTCATACATCTTCGAACAAAAGTACAAGAAATTATTTCAAATTTAGATCCAGAAACTTCTATCGCTATTAGAAGAGCTCAAAATATTATGCAAAATGAAACATTAAAAACTAATTTCATTTTCATCTCAGTGAATTTTAGTTTTATACAAAAATATGTCCTTAAATGAAAGTATGCAAATTGTCGAATCAACGATTGCAAAATGAAAACTCGTAAGCGGACCAATAGATGTTGTAAAAAAGAAAATTCTTGATATTACAGAAAAAAATTACAGGCTACATTGATTTTAAATCAATCAATGACATAATGAGTGGCAGACACCCATCTAAAAATTTGGAATTATCGCCTTCTGATATTATGCGCTTCAAATATGCTTAAATCAACCGACGTAGGTTGATGTGGAACGATCATTTAGCCGTTTTAAAAATATTTTCAGATCTAATAGGCGACATTTAATATTTGATAATTTAAAAGATATTGTAATAATTCAATGCAACAAATCATTTTGATAATTTAAATTATATAATTTTTTTTTTTTTAATTTAATTTTTTTCCTACATATTTGGATGTTTTTAGCACATATTTTATATATTATACTTACATTTATTAATTTATTTTATTTATTAATATTTAATATTAATTATTTAAAATAAAAATATAATTTTTTTTAAATACTGAACAGTCTTTATTTTTTATGGATAAAAAAACAACTTATATTAAGTAGATAAGTAAGAAATATAATTTATAAAATACTAAATAAAAATATTCCATTAATAAGTTGTTTGATGTTTTTTTAATTATTATCAATATGATTAGATTATTAACAATATAAGTGCGTCCACAGTGTTGAAAATAATAATTAATAATTATTATATAATTAACTGACTATTGAATAAAACAATGTATACCCAGTTCCGTCGTAAGTTTTTGTGAGGCCCTAGGCAATTGCCTAAGTTGCTTGCTTGCTAACAACGGAACTGTGCATACCAATAGTATTATTAGTTTTATTAATAAACCATTACATACCGTAAAGCGTTGATGCACCGAAAAATAGTGATAAAAGCATAGGTTGATTCGGTGTAAAAATAAGATACGTCCTCGATGTAGATATTTCTTGCACCGAGAAAACATTTTTATTTATAGATGTATATGTATGAGATACGTCTGTGCGTATCTGATTATTGCATCGAACAGAATTAATAAAAGAGTATTAGGTGTATACTTTTTAGTACAATAATTGGACGTATCTGGTTGTTGCATAAATTTATAGAGAATTTTGTTCCCAATATTTTTATGTAAAAACCTCATTTTTGGACGTATCTTGTTATTACACTGGTGCCTTCAATTGATTTATAAATTTAATGTCAAGGTATTAAAATATAAAATGGAACAATATAAATCAATATTAACTGGATTACACACTAGGCGATTCGAACGCACGTCTCCGTGTATTTCGAATGTCGCGATTTATAAACGCAAACGCGTACTCCTTACACATTAGATGCGTGTCGATGTGTTTTTTCTACGTTTTGAAATCGCATTGTGCTTCCACACTAGATGATTTGGGTGCGTTTCTCAAAAATAAAAAGCGCGGCAAATGTTAATTGAACCATTCAATTCTTTGTACTTTGTTACTTATATTGTATTTCGTTTCGTCTATTTTTTTTTTGTTTTAATATGAAAGTATGCTAAATACTTAAGTAACAATAACTGACTAGCTGAGTAACAAGTAACAACTTAGAATAACGAACTTCGTAAACTATAAGTATACGAATACGACAACTGTCGTAGACAAATTATGAATGAACGTAAATAAACGCGGGGCAATCGTAGCTTCTTTTTTTTATTATTTTAGGACCAAAGAAGGTTTAATGTACCTACCTTTTTCACGATCCATTTTATTATTTTAAAAAATAAAATGTAAAAATATAAAATAAAAAATTATAATATAACACGTATGTTATACAATGCGTAAATCTGAAGGAATGAACTGGAAGTTTTGACGCAGTCAGCGACAACTAAATAATTATACTTGGTTTTATTTTTTTTCACATATTATTAATTTCTTTCTGTAGAAATTCTTTATAGTATGGTTTTATACAGTTTTAATATGTTGCTGATCAATGTATATTTATATTTTATAGCGTTGGGATACCTACTTGGAAAAATATGTTGTTTATATTTTATTGAAATTATAAATATAATACTAAAACAAAATGACAAATAACTTTCTAATGTCCGTATATATAAATTTATTAGTATATTTTAAAATACAATACGGAACCAAAATATTTTTGTTGAAATTTGATTGAATTGTAGATATTATATTAGAAAAATACTTATAAAATATAATTAATTACCTTTGCATTTTTGTCATACAGTAAAAATTGTAATGAAATTACGTAACACTTGCAATAAAAATAACGCCATTGCAGTAACGCGTTACTTTCTATTATGTTACTACCCCACTCGTAGCTACGAATCGGTACCTACACTGTTTGTCGTACTATTTATTATATTATCAGAGAGTACTTTGCACCAGTGGCGTGATTGAGAAAAAATCTAGGGGGGCAATATAATATATTTATTATTACCAAAACCCTGACACCCCTCCCCCTCACCAGTTAAAACATATTTTTATTGTATGTATTTTATACACTATATCTAATTGTTTGATTTTACATATATTTTAACTCATTTTATAGTTAAGATAAACATAAATTGTAGGTAGCAGATACTAGGTACCAATATTGTTAAATAATACCCATAAGAGTTCATTAATAAAAGGTGCTATTTGTACTGTTGGATTATCTGGGGAGGCAAAATTATACCTTTATCTCTCAAAAAATTGTCAGAGGGGGCATTTGCCCCCCCCCACAATTACGCCACTGCTTAGCACATTAAAATATATAACACAGCGTACCTACTTTACCATATAGGTACTATATTACCTGTTAACCTTTTTTATTTGTTTTCCGTTCCGTTCATGATTCATTTAATATTTTTCTTCTCAT